GCAAGGCCCTTGGATATCCCTTCCCCATAAATGGTCCCATGCCACTGCGTTCTATTGGGGCCCCCGGATGTTAGGGCACACCCCTAGGAAGCCTCTCCCCTCACTGCCTGGACACCCACCATTGTCCTCATAGGCATGTCTTAGCTAGTCATGATTCTGAGTGTTAACTTCCTGTGGTCTCGATTATAAAACCAACACTCGTTCTTCATTTCCCATATTAGAATCCTTCATCAAATACCCTTGCTCAAACACCTCAATTTATAGGGATTAACTAGCAGCCAGTTGGGAAGAATGCAACTTGGATGAAGGCATCTGAGGAAGCAGGAGAGAGAGACTCTTCTAAGGCAAGTGGGAGAACATGTGTTTCAGAGTCAGAAAATTAAACTAAGATTTCTAGAGCTTGTAAGAAGAGTTTTGGCATTCATAGCACGTTTAGGCAAGTTTAAGATATAACCAAACCATAACCAAATGATTTTATAAATAACATTTGGTATTAGATCGTGCATGTACAGGCTCATGAAGGCCCACATGGAATCCCTAAGCTTCAGGAGCTCCACAGTCGCCAGGGGCGACTCACGTGGGCCCTTCAGGAGGCTTCCTAAAGAACTTTCTAAGCTCTAAGTTCCTAAAGAACTTCAGGGCATGTGGTCACATCTCCCAGGGCACCAGAAGTCATGCTTCTAAACAGAGGGGAGCCCAAGGCCAACTCAATCCCCATGCGTCATGGTGCTAAAATGAGCTTTGGGCAGGCAGGGAATTCATTCTAACGTAGAACAGAAAAGCCCCCCCTAAAATCAACTTGAAGTCTGTCAAGAAATGTACTTTACTTTCTCCTGGCTAAGGAGAGATTATTCATTATACATCTTTGAATAAGGAACCTATCAAACTGAAAATGCAAGACTCCCTTGTAGGTTAAAAAGCAGTTATTTCAGATGGAGGAAACCTGTAATTACAAGGACAATGGAGGAGAAAAAGCAGGGTGGGGAGATATACAAGAGGGACAGGAACAACAGCAAGAACAGAGTTGATAACTGGGTAAGAAGTATCAGAAAACTACACAGAAGGAATAACAGGCAGGTATCAAAGCTACACTGCTACAGGAGCTGTGTCATTATGAATGTTTGGGACTGCAAGTATCAGAAAACCCCGAAGGCCTATGTTTCTTGTTTCTCTCTCTCGAATAACAAGAAGTCCACAGATAGCTGTGGAGGGTATTGGCTCTGTGATGTCAGGGTTCATATCTCTGTGATCCAAAGCCTGTTCCTCGTGGTTCACAAGATGGCTGCCAGATGGCCACTCCTAACTGGCAGGTGGCTGGGGAGAAAAGGGTTGGAAATAAAGGTGAGCCAAGCAACAAACTCTCTACCACAGTAAGAAAACCGTGGGCTATTCTGAAAGGGAAAGAGTCTGGCGAAACGGGTGGGTGCCGAGCCCATTCAAATGGAACCTAAGCTCCCCAGCTGTCGCAGAGGCTAAAGAATCTAGGGAACATGTAAATTTCCACATGACATTAGTATATGGGCGAAGAGGGAAAAATACCTAGTCCAGCCCTATATGTGTTTCATCTGTATTACCCAAGGTACTCTCCCTATAGAGCTCTTCAAAAAAAAAAAAGGTTCAAACTTATGAAGCAATAAGGAGAAAACATGAATTTGATTTGCTATAAAAAATAACCAAGTTCAAAAAGCACATTTATTTACAAAAGTACAGAGAATAAATGTAAACAAGATCAAAGAAAATAAGACGACAGGCATTCATATTTACATAGAAGTAGGCAAAACTTATCAAGATTCTTTAAGTATTTCTACTTCTAATAATCAAAATCAGTTTCTAAGAATAATTCTTGATCACCTTGGGAAGGATTTTTAGGAGACTCAATCTATATGATTCAAACTTCAATCTTTTTTTTTTAAGATTTTATTCATTTGTCAGCGAGAGAGCACACAAGCAGGGGGAGTGGCAGGCAAAGGGAGAAGCCGGCTCCCCACTGAGCAAGGAGCCCGATGCGGGGGCTCGATCCCGGGGGGGCGGGGGGCTCGATCCCAGGACCCTGGGACCACGACCTGAGCCGAAGGCACGTGCTTAACTGACTGAGCCAACCAGGTGCCCCCAAACTTTAACAATTCTAATGAAAAAATGATACTTTATATTCTTTGAAAATCTCTAAGTCCCTGGAGGCCAAGTAAACCAGACACTACCAATTTTTAAAAGACTCAAAAACTCTTAAATTAGGAAGTCATAATTATTTTTTTTTTTTTAAGATTTTATTTCTTTATTTGACAGAGAGACACACAGCGAGAGAGGGAACACAAGCAGGGGGAGTGGGAGAGGGAGAAGCAGGCCTCCCGCCAAGCAGGAGCCCGATGCGGGGCTTGATCCCACGACCCTGGGATCATGACCTGAGCCGAAGGCAGACGCTTAACGATTGAGCCACCCAGGCGCCCCAGGAAGTCATAATTATTTTTAAGAAATCATTTTTTAGGGGCGCCTGGGTGCTTCAGTCGGTTCATCGTCTGCCTTCACCTCAGGTCATGATCCCAAGGTCCTGGGATCAAGCCTCACAGTGGGTTCCCTGCTCTGTGGGGAGTCTGCTTCTCCCTCTCCCCCTGCCTGCCACTCTGCTTACTTGTGCTCTCTCTCTCTCTCTGTCAAATAAATAAATAAAATCTTTAAAAAAATTGTTTTTAAAAATACAAATATACTATCATTTGCTGAGTACAATACATTAATTTCTTAATCCGTTAAAAATGATTTCCGTTACCCTCTAGTAAGACCCTATGAGACACATTAAGTCATTTACTACTTAACTCTTAGGAAAATCATTCAAAGCGTGTATTCAGTTTTTAATAACACTAATATACATGAAAAGAGAAATCCATACACCTATCATCAGTAGCCAATTAGCTGCTGGATCTTCCAAGAACAGAGACAGGCGTTCCTAAGAGTCCAGACTCTTCAGACCCCTGCACTAATAGATCGCAGTGCACACACTTCTTTCAACTTCACTAACAGATGAGAGCCTTGCAACACGTAGGGAAAGACATGGCACACTTCTGCAATCTTTCCTTGCTGGTGTAGACTCAGCTCACGCTGTTCAAGCCTCCGTCAACATCTCTTGTGTCAATTCTTCCTTTAGTTCGCTGTCCTGGCTCCGAAATGTGACGTCCAAACGGAAATAAAGCGAAAGGTTCACCCAGAAAGTATTCTCATGTAGAAGAATGTTAACGACCAAACGACCCTTTGAGGTTTAATTTATCCAACAATCAATAGGGATCTGAGACTGGGCTGTGTGTCAGGCACCACCGCCAGAGCCGAGGACACACAGCGAGCTAAGCGGCTCAGCTGCAGAGACTGGGCTCCCAGTCAACGACAGTTTGAGTCCCCGGGTGTCCAGCCCTAAGCTTGGTGCCTTAAAATAGATGAAAAGAGATGGTTCTTTCTCTAAGGTGCTGGTAGGTGGTTGGAGATAAAATGCTGAAGAGTGAGCAGTGGAAGACAACCCAGTAATCCCTCATTTACCCACCATCACGGGGAAGTGTGCCCCACACAAGCGACTCTCGAACCTAACTGAAGCTTTTCGGACTTCCTAAAATGTTCATAAACCAAGCTCCAGTCTCTGCTCTGCCAGTTAGATGTGGGGTTACTTCGGGGTTCTGAGGCGAGACAGGTAATACTTTTTTTTTTTAAGATTTTATTTATTTGACAGCGAGAGAGGGAACACAAGCAGGGGGCGAGGAATAGGGAGAAACAGGCTTCCCGCGGAGCAGGGAGCCCGATGTGGGGGCTCGATCCTAGGACCCTGGGATCCTGACCTGAGCCGAAGGCAGACGCTTCACCGCCTGAGCCACCCAGACACCCAATACTGACTTATTTTTACATTTATTTTTAGGAGATTGCTGTGAAGATCAAAAGAAGTGAGCAAAAATGTACCCTGCAAGTTAAGACATTTCTATATACACAATTGTTAAACATTTGTTTTTAGGACGTTTGTGCTTTATGACTGTAATGATTCTAAAGTAAACTATACTTTTTTGCCTTCTTAGAGTTAAGAATTTCCAGAGCCGGGGCGCCTGGGTGGCTCAGTCGTTAAGCGTCTGCTTTCGGCTCAGGTCATGAAACCGGGGTCCTGGGATCGGTCCCTGCTCTGCGGGTGGCCTACTTCTCCCTATTCCTCTCCCCCTGCTTGTGTTCCCTCTCTCGCTGTCAAATAAATAAAATCTTAAAAAAAACACACAATTTCCAGGGCCGACCTGATGAACCTCCGCCATGGCGCACGCACGCAGACTAACTCAGAGGCAACGCGCGCGGGCAGGCCCAGGAGGGGTCGGCTGCGGCCGCCCGCTCTGCCCCCACGCCGGCCCCCCCGCCCCGGCGCCCCTTTCCCCTCGCTCCACCCCTTCCCCTGCCGCAGGCGCGACCCCCCCGCGCTGTGCGCCTATGGCGGACGCTTCCCTGCCCCCGGGTCGTCTCGCTCCCAGGGCTTACTCGTGGGTACTACTACCTCGAGTAAGCGTGCGATGGGAAAAGCAACCCCCAAACTAATGTCTGAATTAAAGAAAAGGGACTTCCAATAAGCAATCTCCGGCAGCCCTCAGTTTCCTGAGTTTAAGAATTCCTCCTATCAGTGAGATCATATGATACATGTCCTTCTCTGATTGACTTACATAATAAAATTAAATTTAAAAAAGAGACAATCTCAAGGGTCAAGTGTTTGAAATACAGCTATGTGTCCTTTTAAACAACCAAGAAGCATTGTCATTGAAGATGATTATGATCCCAGTTGCCTTTTTAAAAGCACTGTTAACATTCTATTTAAATAACCCAGTCTTTATATTTGAGGAAAAATAGTGGGAGTCTTCATTTCACTCTGGGGAGGTTGAGTCTGTGGCTGTTCTTCTCTGGTCTCTCCGAGTTTCAGACACCCCGCTCGAACTGCAGACAGCAAGGGCAGGTTAGCACCTGGCAGGAGAAACCTTGACCAACCCACGCACAGGTATTTTTCAAATCAAGTGTTTTATTTCAAAAGACTTCATAGTAAGCTAAAAGCGAAAAGGAATGTGCGAACGTGAACAGACACAGGAGAAACACGGGCGGTACTGGCACACAAGTGCATGGCCCATTCTGCGCAAGCGCTCCCAGGAACCCTGAAGGCGGCCACAGATGATGAACAACACACTTCAGAAAAATTAAAACATTAGCTTTACGTTATTATAGCTCACTCTTGAAGTTTCTGGACTAGAAAATGGAGAAGATTCCCAAGACCTATTTTCTTTCTCAAAGGAATCATCTTCTTGGAAGGCAAACTTCTGCTTAAGCGCATGGGATATCAAAGACACTGGATCCCAATGTGAATCTTGTCTTTTCCTCTTATGAATGGGTCTACCTCCAGGTGACCTATTTAAAAAACAAACAAACTTTTTTGAATTAAAGCTTTGTGTAATTTAAGCTCCTTGTTGACAAACATACCAGAAATGTAAGCATAATACATTACAATCTAATTATTCTTCAAGAGGTTGAATTTTTTGCCAAAGAACAAGGAATCTGGAAGGCACAATGAATTAGGAATCAGAAAACCAAGAAACCGTGTGGGTGGGGCTCCACCACAATCTTGTTGTGACCTGAGATTATCAAATATCTCGCTGTATTGAAGATCTTTATTTTTTTTTAAGATTTTATTTATTTATTTGACAGAGAGAGACACAGCAAGAGAGGGAACACAAGCAGGGGGAGTGGGAGAGGGAGAAGCAGGCTTCCCACAGAGCAGGGAGCCCAATGTGGGGCTCGATCCCTGGACCCTGGGATCACGACCCCAGCCGAAGGCAGATGCTTAAGGACTGAGCCACCCAGGCGCCCCTGAAGATCTTTATTTAATTTTCTAATTTTCCAGTGGAAAATTTAAAGAAATATTTAAGAACTTTTAAGGGGACTATAGAATTCATGAAAAGAAAACCATTAGGCCAATCGTTCATTCAGTCTTCACTTAATGCCTACTATTATACCAGGCTCCATTTTATGCTTTGAGGGTAGAGCCGTATCCTACCCCCATGGAACATTCTGGGTGACAGGAAATCATCAATGAACAAGTGAGGTCACTGCAGATAGCAATGCATGCTATGAATAAAATTAAGTAGGTAATGTGACAGTGACTGGGACAACAGCACCTTAGGTGAGATGACCAGGAAAAGCTTCTTTAAGGAGATGACATCTCTCTATAAATGACTCCGAGTCAGTGTTAGTGTAAACATCCAGCGGATGCATCAGGAAGGAGCTTGGCATGTGTGAGAAAAAAGGAAACCAGGTACAGCTGGAGTGCAGAGAGTGACATGGGACGTAGGTCATGAGGTCAGAGACAGAAGCAAGGGCTGGATTCTGGGGGCACTTAGAGGCCACAGCAAGGTGTCTGGATTATATTCTAAGCATGACGGAAAACCACCAAAGTGTTTTAAGCAGGGAATGGCCAGATTGAACTCCAAGTTTTATTTGTTTTATTTTTTTTGTTTTTAAAAGATTTATTTTTAAGTAATCTCTACACTCAGCATAGGAATCGAACTTACAACCCCAAGATCAAGAGTCACATGCTCCACCAACTGAGCCAGCCAAACACCCCTGGACTTCAATTTTTAAAGGATCACCCTGACTACTATATGGAGAAAAGATAAGGAGGCAAGAACGGAGAGAGAGCAGTTAGGAAACTACTGCAGAAGTCCAAGCTAGAGACACTGACTTAGACTGGGGGGGCAGTTAGACCATGAGGGTATACCTCTGCGCTGTATGCTAACAGGAAGGAAACAGGAAGGAAAGGAAAGGATGATTCTAGATGTCTGGGCTGGACAGACAACCGGGTGATGGTGTTGCTATTTACTGGGATGCAAAAGACTTGGGGCAGAACAGGTTTTCAAGGTGGATGAAGTGGACAGGTAGGAAGGAAAAGGTCTGTTTTGGACATGTGAAGCCTGAGACACGTGTGAGACAGGCAAATGATGTCAGGTAGGCATGGGGTGCAGAGGAGAGAAATCAGGGATAGAAAGATAACTATGAAGGCCATTAGCATAACCTTGGTATACACAGCCATAGGACTCGGTGAGATCACCAAAGGAAACAATGTGGATATAGAAAGAAGGGGACTGAGGTCTGGGCCTTGCAGATGCCAGTATGTAGATACCAGGCCCAGAAGGAAGAGTAAGCAAAGGAATAAGGAATGGACAGTGAAGTAAGAGGAAAACCAAGTGTGATTTCCTTGAAGCCAAAGGTAGAAAGTGTTCCCAGGAGGAGGGAACCACAGATCATATCAAATACTGTCATGATATCAGGTAGGAGGAACAATAAGAATTGACCATTGTATTTAGCAAGAGAGTCACTGGTGACCTTGATAAAGAGCAGTTTTCAGTGGAGTGATGGGGACAGAGACCATAGGACAGTGGGTAGAAGAAGGAAGTGAGAAATGCAAACTATTGACAACAAGAATTTATACCAGAAAGAGGAGCAGAGAAACAATAATGCCTGGGACATACGTGTTTTGAAGACAGGAAACACTCAGGTGTGAGGAGAATAACGTAGAGAAGGAAAATTTAATGATGTAGAAGACAGAAGGGGTAATTTTAAGTAAAATCCTTGAGATGAGAGAGAGGGGGAACCAGTAACCCAGGGGAGAGCATGGACATGAACAATGACACCTCATTCACAGTAACAAGATAGAAGGCAGAGAACATGAACAGTGACTGTAAATGTAAAGATGGGGGAAGCCTCATCTAATTCTGCAGTCATGTATAATGCCAGGTTAGTTGTAGAAAAATGAGAGACTAGGGGTCGAGGGGAGAGTCTACTGCCTCCTTGCTGTGTCTCCAGTGATGGTAACAGTTGGAGTCACTATCTGCCACTGACTGGGCCGTGATACCAGTCAGCCCTCTTGCTGGAACAAGTGTGCCCATCTATCCACAACATTTTTCTCTGTACCAGGTGCCTCACACAAGGATCAAATCATAACCTGGTTAATAATGAAATGATGTAGGGGCTTTCCTAACACTATTATATAGAAAATATATTTATTTTCTCACAAAAAATCTCACTGAGGGATTTCCAGATGAACATGGCAGATCTCTGTGAAAGATGAGATGACAGTAAAGAAATGAAAAGGACGTATACCCACAAAGACAAAGAAATTATGAGTGGGTAAGAACCGCAAGAAAATATTGAAAGCTGGAAAGCTAATGAAAGCAAAGATGGTGGGGGGTGAGCTGCCTTCCTGAAAACAGGGACTGAGGAAAAGTCTACATACTGAATGAAACTCAAGACTGAGTCCACAAGTGCCCAGCATAAGAAATTAAAAAAGGAACTCTCCAGGGCATGGCATCATGAAATTTCCAAACACCAGGACTAAAGAGAAGATCTTAAATGCGTCAAGAATAAAGAAACAGGTTTCATACATGGTGCCAGGGATGAGAATGACATCAGCTTCTGAACAAGAACACTGGAAGCTAGAAATCAATGGAACGATGTCTTCAAAATTCTGCAGAAAAATGATTTTCTGCCACTGTATACCCAGCCAAACTAGCAATGAACTGAGAATAAAATAGTAACATTTTCAGATATGCAAGGTCTTAAAATAATCTCCCTTTTTATAGATCCTTTCTCAGGAAGGTATGGGAAGATAGGACACCCCAGAAATGGATGAGGCAACACAAGAGAGAGGGTAGAGAATGCCCATGATGATGGCCAAGGAAATCCTCAGCATGGCCACAATGCAGGAGGCTTGCGGAAACCAGAGATTGGAACAGTACAGAGGCCTCCTACCAGGGAATTTATTTTAGAAAGAAACTCAGAGAGATATTAACTGCAATAGAAAATAAAACTATTCAACAAACAAAACGTAATCATAGCATAGGAAATGGCTTACTTGTGAATGTTTACTGTTACAAGGATGTAAATTCTGATTACTGATTTAAGTAAAAACTAAGGATTTAATTATATTGGGAAGATGAAACTAGAGGTGTATCTGTGTGTATGTGTTAGAGGATAGGATGGCTGGGAGAACATACACTCCTGAGTTTTAACAAAGGAAAATAAATACAGTTAAAGTATCAAGAAATAGCAAAAGAAGTATGTTGTTTCAAAAATACAGATAAGAGGGGCACCTGGGTGGCTCAGGTGGTTAAGCATCTGCCTTCACTTCAGGTCATGATCCCAGGTCCTGGGATCGAGCCGCGCATCCGGCTCCCTGCTCCGCGGAGAGCTTGCTTCTCCCTCTCCCACTACCTGCTGCTCTGCCTACTTGTGCTCTCTATCTCTCTGTCAAATAAATAAATAAAATCAGATAAGACACTAGAAGGAAAATACAGATAAGACACTAGAAGGAAGAGTAAAAAAAATGGAAAATGATTTTTTCTGGGAGAGGTGTCCAATTGGAGTAAAGAGGAATGAGAGAGAAGACTGGTCTGTGTGTACTTTGATAAATAAAATAAATTATTAAAACATCATTAATAGAACTTGGTTCATTTCTCAAGTTATGATAACATACCGTTCAATAGCACGAAGCTTAACCTTATTCATGTCCTTTAAAACATCCAACATGTTTGGAACATCATGGTTTTTTGAATGACTGTAATTGGTCTTACTATCACGTGGGTGCTGTTTTTTCATTTCATTTGCTGAATTATCTGAGTCACACATATTATTAGATCCTGGCTGTGTGAGAGGAGAACATGCAGGCTCTGGAGAAAAAAGTTGAGGGGGCAGTGGAGGAGGAGGAGGAGGGAGGGGGTGGGATGGAAAAAGCACTGAACTTGAAAATGGATCTGGTTGGGCACTCAGTTCAGCAGTCCCTGGTGACGGTCTTTGTCCCACACTGCTAGGCTCGTCATTCAAGTCAAAGAAGCCTAAAAACAAAGTACTCGTTTGAAAAATCATGCAAAGTTCTCTCCAACATAACACATAACACTAATTAGAACCAAAACAGGAACAATTTCTGTAATGTTACTAAAATAATGATAGGGTGGCCAGGAAAGAGAAGCAATCCCATCTGCTTAGTAATTTTTATAACAGTCAAACCAAAGAATAAATTTATTTTTAATCCAATTAGGATTGTCTGTGTAGTCCTTTAAAGGGAGGAAGGGTGAGAACGCATTTTAAAAAAAAAATAAAAAGTGCTTTTTCAGTAATTAACATACAATCTGAATTTCATCCTCTATTTTAAAAAAGCTAAAACATAATAAACAATTTGTAGTTAGAAACACTCAAACTGGTATATTCTCTTTATGATGACACTGTAGAAACAAACTATTTTCTAGGCAAGAGCCTACGATGGGTACTGAGTACTTAACTTTCACAACAGATCTGCTCCCAAAAGACTGTGTTAACATGACTGCTAAAAACAATGTATGTGTATATCTCACTTTAATTGCTATTATTATTTATTAATATGTATTATATATTTATAAATATACAATACTATATGAACATTTCATGTTGTATAATGAATTATACATGTGTGTATATGGATGTGTAGAGATACACGCATGTATTACGTGTGTGTGTTGTTTAAAACAAGTCACATCTCTAAACATTTAGAAAAAGATCATCTGGAACACATTACTCAACCTGAATTTTGTGGAACGATAGCAGCAATAACTTCAAGCTACAAATACATGTTCTTCTTTCAAACTAATACATCCTTCCTCATAAATTTCAGTGCTTTTCTGAAGAGGTAGAAAAGCTTCCTGAGAAAACAGTCTTTTTAATTCAAAAGCACAATCTTCAGCAGTATAGCTGAAACCAAAGCCATCCCCCTCACCACAAATGTGTCTTAACTTACTCTAAATAAACACCACGCATAATAATTGCACATCCCCAACATCCTAGATTTACTAAACGTCACTCACAGGCTGCGCTCGCAACGGACACTATCATTGGGCAGCGCGCCGACCGAACTGCTAGCCCCGCCCCGTCGGACTGAAACACACACTCCCCCCACCCCCCACCCCCGCCCCTCACCCGCATGCGCACTGGCTCTGGCTCTCGTTTCCTGCCTTCCCACGATCGCAGCAATCTGAGTACGGAGAAAAGTCAGCTCCTCTTCGAGGGCAGCTATTTTTTTTAATGTTGCTTCACCTACAGGCCCGTCACTTTTCATTCGTTTATTCTGTCTGAGAGCAGGTGACAATGGATTCCAAACTGGTTGCAAAGAATGGAAAAATTCCATTTTCTCCTCTTCTTCATGTTTCCGTATACTATTTCTGTGGGTAGAAGGAAAAAGTGGACAATGACAGTGAGACAGAGGGAGAGAGAAAGAGAAACAGAGGGAAATTTTCCAAGAGCAATAAATTCTTTCAGTTAAAAAGGAATAATGACACAGAAACAAAAATTGGAGAAGCTCTCTTTATCCCATGATTGTCTCTAGACTGGCTACACAAGCACAACATCTTGTGTAACTTTGCGTTCTCAATATCTAGAACACAACGGTTATAGGTAACCGTAAGTGGTAAGTGAATGAACAAATCTTGCTCTGAGACTGTAAAACAAAAATAATTATCCTGTAACTGTTCTACCTATTAGGTTTAAACATAGTACAAATTGATTTATTTAGAAATGAAGTTGATTTACTTATAAATTCTACATATTCTGAATATAAGGTATTGAAAGGCCTTATATTCAGTATTATGTTAGGGGTAAGTTTGTGGTATTCTAACTTTTTTTAAGTAGATAAACCAGTTTGATACGTAATAAGTTTAGCCGTAATACTTGAGTAATTGACCCTTATTGTGCTGATAGCCTATATCTGAATATACTAACATGTAAGTTAGTCCTCTCAAGCAGTAACACATCCTAATTTTGAAATATATTTAACATCATTGCCTGGTACACAGTAAATGCTACATACCTTTTGGTTAAATATACAAAATAAATAAATATATATAGTATTTAGTGTAGGAAACAGCTTTCTCCTAAAAATGGACATACTGATTCTGACATCCTTTTAATATTATTCCTTCCTAAGCCTGCATTAAGAGAAATGGTAAATAAAAATGAGAGACACCCAGTCATCCTTATTAGGAAGATATTAGGAAGACGCACAGTAGTAGAGACAGACAAAAGGCTCAATTAGTATGATCAAACTTCAACACGTGCAAGAATTCAGATTACAGCCCATATCCCATTTTCCACAGTAAGTATATAAAATTACCGAAATCTGAGGTAACTGGCTTCTTCATCATTTGCCACACACAAAGTATCAGCAAAAGATGGAACTACAGATCCACAGTTACCAGAGTCTACAGAGTTCAACAGCGGGATTAACTAAAGGAAAAAAAGGAAAGAAAAAAAAAAAGTCAGAGTTCTGCAGGGGTTGGGGGTGGGGGTAAAACACATGCATGTCCATGGAAATTACATAAATTAAAAATCCAAGAGTGAAAAGGAAAAAGAATGTTCAAAACCAAACATGCACCTGTTAGCAAGAAACAATACTGAAGAAAATGTTATTCTAAAGTCTAAACATGTAGCAATATTCTCTACCCTGGTTAATGTCATCTATCATAAAACACAAACCAGAAGAATAAAATAAGCTATTCAGGTGTTGCTTTGTACCTGCCCAACTCTGAATGTAATTACTTACAGAAGTAAATACAAAAACATACAAGAAATGATTTGTTTCCAGGAATAAGCTAAAGGTTTTTGGCTTGCAGGAAACATTTCTTCTTCTTTTGTTCTACTCTGTCTCTAGTACCTAAGATTATTTTATACATAGTACTTAAACAATGCCTGTTGACTGACTTACCTCAAAATTAGGCCTGGGACAAGGTTCTAGAGGAAGAATTTTCCCAATAATACGAACAATACTCCGAGCTGATCCATAGTCTTTATTTTCTCTAATCTGCAAAACCTGTTTATACATAGAGTGTTGTTTTTAAAAAGTACTCTGTTAAAGCCTGTTTATATACTTTGAAGAAAAGCAGATGTAAATGCACTAACACTTATTTTGAAAAAGAAAATACAGAATGGCATACTCAAAGTATTTTCTTCAAAGAATTAAACTTTAGTCATATATGAATAAAGGATGGGAGTTAACCTATATAATATTCCAGGAAGAAAGGTCTTTTAAGAAAGCACCACAAATTCATGTTTGTTCTATTTCCAATAGTGGCAATATACCTTTGGGAACTTTGTTCAGAAAAACTGCCTCCCCTCTTCCCAGCTAAACATATCTTTTGGCCCAATCAAAAATTGACAGTTTCAGTTTCTCAAGCATAAGACAGTACAGACTAAACTCCTGTAATTCCCTTTAAAGGTGAGATCCTTTTTAGGGGAATAAATTAATCTGGCACTAGATAATTTAAGAATTCTTTACTTAGAGTGCAATATATCTACTAGAAGTCAGTTCTTAAAAAGATGATAGAAATGAAATGTGCTACTGTAATTCAAATACCGCCTTGTCTTTTGCCTTTGGGCCTTCCAGACTGGTATAAACTATTCCCACAGGAACCTTCCCCAAAACATGACATAACATTTCTGCTCTTGGCAAAGATTTCAACACAAAGAAAGCACTTCCTCTCTTTAAAAAGCATTAAAACTTGGACTTTTCATTTTTCCTCAGATCCCGTAACAAGGACAAATTTTATTACAAGCAGCAGATATAGGTAGCATCCTATCAGCATCTTCTTCGAAGTATCCAATAAGCAGATGGATATACAGTCCTAGAATTCAGGAAAAAACATCTGGGATTTAGATGGATTTGGGAATCATCAGCAGACCAAATACATGATAGGTAAAAATCAAAGCCATTTGACTAGTTGAGAAAAACTGGGGCTAGAGAGGAAGATCCAGAAGCCACTGGCACCCAGAATGCCATCCTTCTGCTTTTAAGTCGTAAGGGTTCTGAACGTATCCAATCATATCCAAACACCTCACTCCAAGATTAAATACTAATTCCACCAACTAACCTCACAATCTTCCATCAGTTCTGCTTCCTGCCGAGCAGGGAGCCCGATGTGGGGCTCGATCCCAGGACCCCAGGATCATGACCTGAGCCGAAGGCAAACGCTTAACGACTGAGCCACCCAGGCGCCCCTTTTTCCTACATTCTAGAACCATTTAACTATCTGCAGGATATTTGTATTTATATAATCAAACAGCACATCTTGCTCATCTTAGCTCCCTACTCAAACTAGTTCCTCATACTGAATTGCCCATTTATAATATTTATAATATAGTAATTGCCTATTTATAATTTATAACCACTCTTCAACTTACTTTTGTTTAAAATCTTGAAAGAATGCTTGACTATTAATTCTCTTCTAATTCACAACAAATAGCAACAATTTGCCCATTCTGTAAACTCAACTATTCTCTCTTATATTCAATCTTGTATTATAGTCTGTATATGTTTCTTATTCCTCATATTATATTTTAAGCATCATGAATACAAGAAACATGTATTGCTGCTCTGTATCACCTGCAGAACTAAGCATATTGTCTTAGATGTAGTAATGCTCCAGAAGTAGAGAAAATTGGATTTGCTTATAATTCTCAGACCCTAAGTCATCCTCTCTCAAGATTTATGCTGAATTTGTTGAGGTATAACTTGCATTATATATCCAAATACCAAACTTAAGTTACCTTAAATAAAACCACTAGCTAATTAAAAATATATTTTATCTATGAAAGTCGTATCCATATTTTGCTGCATTTGCATCTTTTGCTGGCATTTTACCTATCCCGTAAATAGGTTACTAATAATCTTATCCTTTTTTTTTTTTAAGTAAACTCTACCTCCAACGTGGGGCTCAGACTCACAACCAGTTGATCAAGTCACATATTGTACCAACTAAGCCAGCAGGTGTCCCTAATCTTATCCCCTTTTTAACTCAAACTAGCAAAGGAATACTATTGCAAACTCACCTTTGTTACACCTTAAAAGAAGTAACAATTTCACCTTAAATTAAATGTTTACATACAGATAATTTTCAAAATAAGACCCAACAACAAATACAACAGGTTCATTCAAATCCATTAAAAGACATTTACCTGGTCTATGGGGACACCAAAATATTCCAGCATTTCTCTTAAGATATTCAATATGAGTGACATTGATGAAACAAATACATAAGCGAATTCAAGGAAACATTATCAGTTTCTTGATACCTTCAGGAAAAATAATTTAGAAAATATTACTCTTGACAAAAAAAACAAAAAACGAATGCACAAAACTGTATTAAGTAACCTGGAGAAATCCTTTCGTTTCACATTACACCAACTAATTTCTTCTGGCCAGCAGTGTTTTGAAGGAAGTCAAAGAGAAACAAAGGAATGGAGAAGTGGGGATAGGCTGGTAAAGGAAACTCCAATTTATCAGTTAAGTTGCATTAAAAGTTCATAGGATGTTTAAGTCTTCATTAATAAATATCAACCAACAATGGATTGGACACTTGGCAGGAAAGCTTTTGGGTTAGTTATGACAGCGAGGTCTCCGGTCTCCCGAAAGTTCTGGGCTGAGGAGATGGATGAGTTCAGATCACCCTTGAAAGAAAGTAGGCAAAGGGCCGACTTAAAGCTTTAACAAGTGAACAGCAGCTCTTTCTCACAAACGAATCGGGGTACCATCCATCCTCCTCATTTTAAAGATAAGGAATATGAACTCCAGATACACAACGTGACGTAGTCACCCAACTAGCGAGTAACAGCCGAGACTAGCGCCCTGTCGTGTCACTCGCTTTGGCCTCAAGCCTCCTCAGAGGCTCTCCTAACCCAGCATGGTCGCCTTGCTCACCCTCCTCCGAAGTCGAGCCTCCGAGCAACCACCGGAACATCAAGCTGCCTCGAATCCGCAGTCTGCGAAGCTCGTAATGCACACGTCCTGGTACAGGAGCGCTCGGACGTCCACCCGTATCGGCCCGCGCACCTCAGTTTGCAGGCCACAGACAGTAACGACGCCTCCCACCGACCCGGGGCTGGGTACTGGAACCCCCTCGCTCAGCCCGGGTACCTCTGCAGGAGGCGCACTCCCATGTCGCCTCTCCCCCCGACCCTGCAGCTCGCCCCCAGGACTGGCGCAACTTCCGCGTTCCTGTACGAAAATCAAATTCCGCGGGCCAAGCCTGTGCCCGATCTCATTGGACAAGGCTAAAGACCGCTGCTTGTGATTGGCTGCGGTATGACGTCAGGTTAGTTACGGTTATTTGGAGCGCCAACTGGGATTTTTCCTCCTTCCTCTTCTAGAGGGCGGACCTCCCGCGAGGCAGCCAATAGAAGCCTAGAGACAGCTGGTGGGCGGGGCGGAGCGGGGGCGCGCGGAGATGGTGACGCACGTGCGAGACCTGTCTTTAGGTTCCTCCCGGCTAAACTTCTGGTTCCTACAGCCGGGCGTTTTGGAGCCATTACGGATTTTGAGACAGGCCCGCAATCCAGAGTTCGTGCCAGTTCGCAAAGTGTGTCGTCCCCTACACCCAGACCCTAAGCGGGGCCGCTCTCCCAGGTACTCTTGCCGTGGAGTCGCTATTTAATGTTTGACCATTTCATGCAGCGAACATCTATTATATGCTTATGGGACTCGCAGAAGCTAAACACAGTCCTCGAGGGATGTGTAGCTTTGCAGTACTTAAAAGGTTCACTAAGCAAACGCTTCTGGTTATCTAGGCTACCAGATACGGGCCCGACGTTCTGGTTATCTAGGCTACCAGATACGGGCCCGTATGCTTAAGTGAGGACTAAGTCATATCGGGTGATACCCGTTTTTTTTTTTTTTTTAATTCTGATCTGGGATTACTGGCTTCATAAGAGAGAGCAGCTTCCTTTTCTTCGTATTTCAGGGAAGGATGCACTGGAGTGACATGACAAGGTCAGCTGTGCCCGGTGCTGACTTAAACATTAAAAAAAAAAAATGGGGATATTTTTCTCTATGGCCCACATTTATTCAATACCTAAAGTCTGTTAATGTGCCAGGCACTATTCCAAGCCATAGGGAACACAATAACGGGCAAGACCGGTAAGGTCGTTGCCCTGCTGGAGATTACATTCTACTGGAGATTTTTTTTTTTTTTTTGGTTAAAGATTTTATTTCACAGCGAGGGAACACAAGCAGGGGGAGTGGGAGAGGGAGAAGCAGGCTTCCCGCTGAGCAGGGAGCCAGATGCAGGGCTCGATCCCAGGACGCTGGGATCATGACCCAAGCCGAAGGCAAACGCGTAGCGACTGAGCCACCCAGGCGCCCCGAGATTTTTTTTTAAATAGCATTTCTCTCCACTCTTTTCTTTTTAGCACTTATCACCACGTACATTCGTGCTTCTATCGCCAAACTAGAATGTAAACTCCAGAACAGGTACTTTGTTTTGACCCATGTTGTTTCTGTAGTGCTTTAGAAGACTGCCTAGTATATGGGGGGGGGCGCAGGCCTGTCAGTGGAGTTTGCAACTCTTCATCTCATGAGGGGTCATGAGTTCCCGAACTTAAAAAAAATGAAATAAACACTTAGCGTGCCTAGTACATACAATGGGCAATCAATACTTGTTGACTAAAATAACTGGATATGGGATGAGAGGGAAAGAACAACAGAAATGACTTGCAATTAAGTAACTGGCAGACTAGCCCAACAGTCCAAACTAGATGTTGATGAAAGTAGGGGCAGGAGAGGGCTGTTGGACAACGTAGAAGGCAAATAGATCAGCAACCCTACATGGAATCAGTCACAATTTTCTCAAGTTCCTTGTCTTTTCCTTTTGTGGATCTTGTAACCTCCTCCCTTTCCAGTCTGATATCAAACAGCATCTAATAGGGCCAAAACACTTCCCTTGAGAACATTAGAATAGTTACCAGCACTAGAGCTGCCTTCACCCTTCACTATTAATAGAGAGCTTCACATTCAATTCTGATTTAGGTAGCAAGCAAGATGGGCCCAGGTCAAATGCTACACCCTCCATGAATGCTTTGCTGACAACTTAACCCTAACATTCCTCAGAGATCTTTCCTCCATTTTATGTTTTCTAAGCCTTCATACATGTTCCATCTTGATAACCTTTAGTGAGATTTGACATTACTATTTTCCACTTGCTCACATTGACATGAAATTATTTCTTTGGCCATTTAGAATGATGCAGGATTCAGGAAAGCTTAACTTTACAGTTACCTTTTCTGTTGTTTTTTAGTAGCATTCAGAAATATGGTGGCTTGCTTTGTAAGATCGTCCGGGTTGTGTTCCCTTCCCCCAGTTTGACCCAGGCCCTACTATTGTCTCTATCCTGTTCAGTGATTCCACTTTCAGTACTTTCTCCTCAGTATGGGGGTCCTGTCCTTAAAAGGGAGTTTTGTTTTGACAGGTCTGTTTTGAGAGTTCACTAGGGTAAACTGCTCCAGTCTCTCCAGTCCTTACTGTGGATACCTTGCATTCACAAGGGAAAAGACAAAAGTCCAAGTTTCAGTTGACTAATTTGAGATTCTGCTTTTCTCAAGTCTTTCAGAAGCTACCTCAATTCTTCCTTCTATTCACATAGAAACCAGTATCAGGCAGGTTGGTGGTTTTCCCCATCTGCTCTTTAGAGGTTCATCACCCTAGCTTAATTGCAAATGCTGTTCATAGGTATTTGGTTTTGCCATCCAAATGTATTTTTCCATTTTCCCAAACTACTAATACATTATAATTAATCATCATGCTATCTTCTGGATCCCCAACACCAAGAATTGTTTATACATCTTTACACCCAATGCCAGGCATACTTTTTCACTGAATAAAGGAGAGAGGCTGAGGGCTGGTTTGGACAAAGGCTAGAAAGATGTGTGTACTCAATCTTGCCCACTGCCCAGCAGAGCCCCATTAGCCTGTGCCACAAGCCTAAATTTCTGGTGATAGGTGAATTCAAATTACTGTAATTATCTTAAGTAGTGGGATAGAATACAAGCTAACATTCTATCAAAATAAGAAATAGCCTCTCCAAGGTTAACCATAGGGTCTCATGAAAATGTGATCTCCAGATTGGGATGCACCCACCCAGAAAGTTCATTTAAATATTGCATTTCAAAAAGAAAAATACTTAGGCCCTTTTTCCTTCTGTCCTATGCTTGAAGCCTCTCAGGGGTAGTACCAATGCAGTACACTTAAACCAACCAGTGCTATTTAAAAGATTACACACCTTTTATTTTGTTTTAAAGATTTTACTTATTTGAGAGAGAATGAGAGAGAGGGAGAGCATGAGAGGGGGGAGGGTCAGAGGGAGAAGCAGACTCCCCGCTGAGCAGGGAGCCTGATGCGGAACTTGATCCCGGGACTCCAGGATCATGACCCGAGCCGAAGGCAGTCGCTTAACCAACTGAGCCACCCAGGTGCCCGATTACACACCTTCACAATTATCTATTCAAAAAATTCAAATATTATTTGAGAGTAATTAAGACCAAGATTTTCCTTGGTATTAAAGTATTTCAAACTCTCCTGAAAATCTCATTTTGTCTTGACAATAGTTAAAACTGTATTTCAATGTCTACCATATATCTATACTATAGTAGTATCTACACCATAAATTACTTGTAGTGATATATTAAAATTATAAAATCTAAGTTAAATGTTTATAGTCTAAAAGGAGGATTTCTTTTTATTTGAACCTTTAATTATTTAAAACAAAATCTAGGTTATGCCTAGTATTTGAATCCAAAGGTCTTAGACAAGAATAGTTATTACAGCTAGACGTCTCTAAAAGCATAAAGGTGAACTGCTGCTTGATTTTTCTGGTTCTTTTTTTTAGAATATTCATAGGACTTCATAGATTCTGTAATCTGTGTCCTGCTACAATCATATATGTTCACAAGAAGGTATGCCTTGACTCTTGTCAATCACTTAAAAAGAGTTGGTTAAAACCTAGAACAGAAAAAATAAAGGATGCCCTTCCAGTGTTATTCTGCTTCTGGATCACCCAGTCAGCTACACATCACTGCTACTGTTTGCATTTAACCCTTTTCATTTTTAGTAACAATCAACTCTTAATTTTCAATACAGTCATGGCCCCAAGTAACAGCAATAAAAATATTTTACATCATAAAAATTCCAAGTGACTGATTTATTATCTTACAGCTAATAACAAGTTATTTGTTTATCTTACCCAAAGATAGGAATATGGCATAAGGGGCACCTGGGTGGCTCAGTTGTTAAGCGTCTGCCTTCAGCTCAGGTCATGGTCCCAGGGTTCTGGGATCGAGCCCCACATCAGGCTCCCTGCTCAGCAAGGAAGCCTGCTTCTCCCTCTCCCACTCCCCCTGCTTGTGTTCCCTCTCTTGCTGTGTCTGTCAAATAAATAAAATCTTAAAAAAAAAAAAAAAGAATACGGCATAAGTCTTAAAAAACAATCTAAGTTCATTCCTATCACAACACTGAAAAAAAAATTGTAGCAAAATGCAGTATTTTTTTATCACTGGTAACTTCAGTTGATAACATACAATTTAATAAAGCACCTGAGAGTAAAAGGTAACCTTAATCCTGATTTAATACAGAGAACTAGGAAAAAAGTTTAGCTTCAGGCAGCACAGCATTCCTGACAGAGATCCAGATTCTCCATACTTCTAATAAGCAGAAAACTTGCTTTTCACAAGCTACCTACTCTACTTGTCAGGGAACCTGGGTGGCTCAGTTGGTTAAGGTTAAGAGTGTCTGACTCTTGATTTTGGCTCAGGTCATGATCTCAGGGTCGTTGAGATTGAGCCCCGTGTGGGGCTCAATGCTCAGTGGGGAGTTTGCCTGAGATTCTCTCTCCCTCTGCCCCACCCTCGCTCATGCACACGCACACACACGCTCTCTCAAATAAATCTTAAAAAAAAAAAAAGCTTGGGCGCCTGGGTGGCTCAGTTGGTTAGGCGACTGCCTTTGGCTCAGGTCATGATCCTGGAGTCCCCGGATCGAGTCCCGCATCCGGCTCCCTGCTCAGCAGGGAGTCAGGGAGTCTGCTTCTCCCTCTGACCCTCTTCCCTCTCGTGCTCTCTCTCATTCTCTCTCTCAAATAAATGAATAAAATCTTGGGCGCCTGGGTGGCTCAGTTGGTTAAGCGACTGCCTTCAGCTCAGGTCATGATCCCGGAGTCCGGGGATCAAGTCCCACATCAGGCTCCCTGCTCAGCAAAGGAGCCTGCTTCTCCCTCTGACCCTCCCCCCTCTCATGTGCTCTCTCTCGTTCTCTCTCAAATAAATATTTAAAAAAAAAAAAAAACTTGTCAATTAGCTCGAGTCAATAACAGTCTATGTACCTATGGTTCTGGTTCTCTCCCCTCTAAATATGGAACATGTTAAAATGATGAGGCAGGACAAAGTAATACAAAATGTCCTTCCTGATCCTACAAAATTTTAATTTGACTCTATTTCCTCTTTAAAGGGAAAGCCCTTTAAATACTTGAGGACTGCTATCAAGGACCCATCCCAGTCATCATTGCTCTATACTACAGTAAACATACCTTCTCCATGTTGGTGGGAACGCAAGCTGGTGCAGCCATTCTGGGAAACAGTACGGAGGTTCCTCCAAAAGTTGAAAATAGAGCTACCCTATGACCCAGCAACTGCACTACTGGGTATTTACCCCAAAGATACAAATGTAGTGATCCGAAGGGGTATGTGCACCCCATGTTTATAGCACCAATGTCCAGAATAGCCAAAAGAGCCAAGATGTCCATCAACAGATGAATGGATAAAGAAGATGTGGTGTGTGTATATATATATATATATATATACACAGTGGAATAAAATAAAAAAAAAAGAAGAACCCATCTCAGTTACCATTTCTCTATAGTAAACATTCCTTTTCCAACTTACTCACATGACACTATTTTAGACCTCAAGCTCCTGGTTCCCCTTCCTTTAAACATACCGTTTACTCTTAAAAACATGATACTCCAAACAATACAGAAGAGTGACGTGAGCCATAAATAAAAAGATTAATGATCTAACTTCTGTTCACCGCAACCTGAAATCTCTATTCAGTACATTTTAAAGCAGCATAGACTGTTTTAGCAACAGCCATAAAATAAATTGGCTGATACCAATCAAACCTCTATACATACACAATTGTATCATGCTTTCACTATACATTCAAGGAGCATTTATTTCATACCTATAGTATGTATGGCATACATAATGCATGATGCTCAAAACTAAACATTTATTCTGGGAAAGGAAGACATTTAAATGGAATGAGCTGCTAGCCTAAGAGAATGTGCTACATTCAATGAGGACAAAAAAAAGCATTTGGAATTTTTGCTAGCGTTTAAGATTTTAAGATAGGTAAATGAACGAGTGGGTAAGGCGCAAAGGCAAAAAACCAGCTCATGTTGTTCACCTTGACTAACAGTTTAGGCAACAGGAAGACACTGAAGGGTTTTAACTTAAAAATGACATTAATTTTAAAACGAAAAACATCCCTTTAGATGGCAACGAAGGAAATTTAAGGGTCAAAGAGTCCAAATTAGGAGTCTACTGCAGCAGCTGAGGTATCTTTACCACAGATTACAGGGGTTAAAAAGGAGACAACTTTGATTTTGAAATTTGAATATGACCAAATGTATGCATAGACTATAACCATATACTGACATTAACCAGTTAAATTTGGTATTTTAACTTTCTTTTCATGCTTATATTGGTGATGATATTCAATTTCTTTCAAAAAATTCAAAGTGTACTTAACATTCCCCTCAAGGCAGCTTTAGAAGTACCCTAATAAAAAGTTTATAGTTTTCCCTTTTTGGTAATTATGACCTTCCATAGTCAAGGGCCAGATAAGGTAGCCAATAAACAGCTATTCTGGAGGATGAGAATGGTATTCTTTTTCTGTGTCTTTACACATTCCATAAAATTTGCCAATTACTATGACAGTACCAGGAAGTTATCATTGCCAAATACACAGGTCATGGTGTGAATAGAAGTCCTTCCAAGTCACCTAATTTTAAAGTGTACTTATCCATCTACTTTTACTAAAAGGAGTGCTCATCGGGAAGCTGGGGCAACCACAAGACATTACTAAGAAAAATCTGATTCTGATTCTTAGGAGAATAGCATTAAAATCCATTTCTCCAACCCTCTTCTACTTGCAAGAATCAAGATCATCTTCTGCATTTTAAGAGTGCGGTAAATCAGTTCACTGTGGTAAACCATCTAAAATGTCTAGGAAAAATATTTTTTTATGCAGAGATCATTATAAATAAGGCACATTATTTGAGATTCTTTTCCTAGTAGTGAAGCACCACCCCTAATGCCGGTGTTCTCTTTTTTGAACCAGTGGGATCCATTTTTAAAGGCTAAAGTAAGAGGTAACATAACAATATAAAGAGAACTAGAAGACTTAAATGTACAACTTTGGCTTCATCTGCACAGTCGACAAACACTAATCATTACTGAATGTTTGAGAAACATAAGGAGAACAGCTCATAAATCTACACAATCTCTAAGGCTCTTGAGGAAGAAAATCGAATACAACTAATTTCCATATATTCCTGGATTCTAAGAAACTGAGTAATAACAAACCTTGTTGACTTAAAACTCATTAACATGGACTCCTAATTTTTTTTTTTTTTAAGATTTTATTTATTTATTTGAGAGAGAGAGAATGAGAGAGAGAGAGAGCACGAGAGGGAAGAGGGTCAGAGGGAGAAGCAGACTCCCTGCCGAGCAGGGAGCCCGATGTGGGACTCGATCCCGGGACTCCAGGATCATGACCTGAGCCGAAGGCAGTCGCTTAACCAACTGAGCCACCCAGCCCAACATGGACTCCTAATTTTTAATATCTACCTCAATGAACTGAACAATTAGAAATCAGACCCTTGACATTCAGATTTAACAATGGTTTCAACATTTGATAACCCTAAATGTATGGTAGCATAATATTTTAATAACATATCATGATCTACTATCCAGAGACTAAGTCTCGTCAAATACAATCCCATGACAATAAATTTTATTTCTCCAATTGCCTTCCCTATATAGCAACCTCATAAATTGAAACAGGTCTCTATACTTCTCTGAAAAGTGAAAGTAATACTGTTGCATATGAAAACAAATACTCCCAAAGGGATTCCAGTTGAAACCCAAAAAGAAAGAAAAAAAAGAAACTTATGTAAACCTCAGAGTAAAAAAAGTTAAAGGTCCCTAATATGCATACTTTATTTAATGTAGGAAACTGGTATATAACATTAAAATTACCCAGTATAATACATTAGGCATCCACACAAAGCTCTTATTTGTCTAACAAAGTTTTAAAGGGATAATCGGTCATTTTATTAGGCAAATATATGTCTTAGCACACAAATATCTGTGAAAATGCCTTTGTTTAAAGTTGACAGAATGGTCCACTTTATATTTCAAATAATTTCTAAGAGGGGCATGGTAAGAATTATACCAGATCTTACTCAAAATGAACAAGTCTAACAAAACAAAACCCAACCTCTTTAGTTAATGGCTACTGCAGTTTTTAAAAAGAAGTAATGCTGATTCTTTGTAATATTATGGCTAACAAGCTCCTGTATTAACACAAGAACTGAAGACTAGACTAGAAATCTGGAATTCCTGTATTCTCTAACAGCGAAATTATCCACTATAAAATTTCCCATTTTCCCAGGGAAAACAAAAAAACAGTAAATGGGGTTTAAGGAGTTTTATAAAGTATTATCAAGCCCCCCAAAAGCCACAACATACCAGTAATTTTACCAAGAGAGGAGTTGGTATTCTAAACTCTATATAAATAGGCCATAGAAATCAGTTGTATAGAACAGACACAGAAAAAGTCTCCAAAATCAGGTAAACAAACAACGGCTATTACCACTTATGACATTTTATTGGCATATGACAATTTACAAGGGTCCCTGTTGCAATATACATCACACTGAGTAAGAATCGTTTAGCCATCTACATTCATTCGTATTGGGTAATATTTTTACTCAAATTATAATTTAATTCCCAACACTTGATTTTAACTGTGACAAAAGGGAACAAATAGTAATTCCTTAAAGGTGGATGTAATTGGAAAAACATATTTTGCTATTTTGTATTAGAATTCCTAGGATGTTGAAAAGTATACACACCTAAGGACTGAGTCATGGCCTTCTTAAACAGCTTTCTTAATCCTTTCTGGAAATATCCTTTGGTTCACTTTTATTTTCCTTCTCTAGGCAAAAGGAAGTCTATTAACGTAGGTATCAAAGAGTTATTATTTTCTGGCATTTGTTAACAAAATTCCTTACCAAGAGGAACCATTCAGCTTTATCGTATGTTGTAACGTGTGGAGGTAAATTGTGGCTTAAAAAAACACAACATAGGCTTTCATATCCTTGGTTCTGAAACAGGTAACATCCACAATGGAATCCTAATTGCAGAGTTCTATCGCCCTTCCTACTAAATTCTGGTATAATCCTTTCCTGAATTTTAATCGAATAAAAGCAACCAAATCAGGTATCTATTTGGATTAAAGCAATGCATTTGCATTTAAAATATAACTTGCTGATAGGACCTAGGGAGCTTTATTCCCACTCCCTATTAAATAATTTATCAGCAAATTCCCATTCTCCTATTGTCTTAAGTGGAAAAACAAAACTGCACATTTATAGTCATGCACAGAGATTCAGTATCTAACCAAATAGTAACTGTTAAAATAAAAGCTAAATTTATTTGTATAAAATAAAATGGTTGTGAAAATTCTCCTGTATTGAAGATTAAATCCATGTTGCTTTAGCATGTAATTAAGTATTATTCTGACTAGAAGAAATCGGCTGTCCTGATTAATGCAATAACAAACTTGCTTTAACAGTATTTCCTCTGCTCTGTAACAATTTCAGAAAAGACAAGATAGGAGAAATCATGCAATACTAAAGATCCCAGGGCCATAAACATCACATATACTTTTGTTTTCGTATTTTTCCCTCTTACAGTTCTTAGCAAATGCCCCTGGCTGCAATCAAGGTGCTAGGAGCACTGCAAATAATCAAGTGAGGACGAAAGATCCATGTACTTAAGATTTCTGAAAGTTTACACTAAAAGAATAAACATTACCTCCTTTTAATGCAAACATATACAACTAATTTGGTTGCTGAATTAACAAATGAAATTTGACTACTTTTATATATGCTCATAGAGCAGACAAACTTAACACTGAAATTTACTATTTCGGATTTTCATCTTAAGAGCTATCAGCATAAACATAAAGGTTAATTCACATCTGAAAGATTATCTACCTGAAGAATAGAACCCTTGGGAAGAAAAAGAAAGCCATTTTATAAACTGCAACTGAAATAGGGAAAAAAGTAAAACCAAGTTAGACAATGCTGCAACAAACTTCCTGTCAAAACTTTTTATTGAAAAACAAATTACTTAAAATACTACTAATAAACAATGTTTTGTTTGCCTATTTTTCCTTATGGTTAGACTACAAACTAATGTTTCAGCTGTCCAGAAGCTCAAATAAATATGTAAGATATGAAATCAGGTACATCTTTCTAATATATCAAGTTATTCTGCAGCATAATCCTCTTCCATACCAAGACCAAGATTACAAGTTTTGTTCTATTTTTTTAAAGTAATACATTTGGTAGGAATGGATTTATTTGTATTATTACAGACCAGTTTCTCTCTCAAAAAGATTAGCTAATATCTAAGACCATGACTCAAACTTTCAAATAAGAATAGAAAGACAACTTTTTTTGAGCCCAAAAAGTAAAGGATCCTAAGAATAGTTTTTATAGGCCACTGCTTGCTTTCAGTTAAAAAAAAAAAAAAAAACCTCATACTTTTGGATCTTTTAATAGCTTGTACTTTTTAGGTATTGGCAAAGCTTTTTTTCCTCTTAAACATCTGCTGACATGTTAAACTAGCTTAGTTTACCAAAGTAAAAACCTTTTCTGTGGTACCACTCAAAAATTAGTCACCCTACAATGTAGTGTGTTTGAATTAAGGAGAATGTTAAACAGATGTATACGGTTAAAATAATTAGTGTGGTCTCTATAAACAACTTCTGTTCAGGGATTTGTATGTAGAGCTAACGTTTACTTCAGAATAAACATTAACAAACAGGGAAGGAAGAGAATCAGAACTTTCACAGAGCTGTACTTGACCATATCTTATAGACAAAGCGAATTACAATGCATGTAACAAAAACAGTAAAAGTATTTTTTAAAAGTTGATAGTTACAAATATGGTACGTAACAATTTTCTACTTTATTTCAGTACAATTTTCAACATACAGTCTACTATTTTTCAAGGTATTTGAAGACTTAAAACAAAATTTCTATTGACTACTTGCAAACAGTAAAATTTAAGTAAAATGCTTACATTCTTATTTTGAAAACAAAAATCAGGTAAAAAATGGTGGGTGCAAGTTCTGCTCTCTGTTGCAATCTCACTTCAGATTTACTATTCCTAAAAAAAGAGAGAGAGAGAAAAAAGATTAGCAAAAATGTGGAGAGTGAAAATGATCCATAATAATCACTATCTCTAAAAATGAAATAATTAACTAATGGCCCACCAAACCTACACTGAAGAAAATTTATCAGAATCACTAACAAGCTGAAATTTTCTACCTTTTCTTCTTTGCGTCTGTCCTTCTTTTCTTCATTATTTTCCATGGTCTCTTCTTCATCTTCAACAATCCCGTCCCCTTGGTATTTGTCATGAGTCCATTTTGGACTGCTACCTGATTTTTTGAAGTTAAAGCGCCCTCTGCCACGTTGAAAAGTACCACGACCTCTTCCTCTTTTGGCCCAATAATCCACACCATCATCTCTGTCATCATGCTACAGAGAGGTTAAAAACAATCATCACTAAAATGTCTTTCTTATAAGGAAAATGATCATATCCCCAAATTGTAAGTCATGGTACACATCTTCTGAAGACTAGGGTATGTAAGATTGGTAATGTTCTAAAACACATTAAAACAAAGCCAGAAACACTGAAGTTTTTGGCAAAAATATTTTCCATTGTGAAAGCAAATAATTACATCTTCCTGCTTATAACCCAAGCATTGAGAGCTGTCCAATTTTTTGGAGAATTTCAACTGCTAAATTACTGCCAACTTCCAAAATTTTGACTTTTTTGCTCTCCATTATTTCAATCTAAGTCCACTGGCTAATATGCTGCATGTAAATGAGATAAAGTAACCAATAATTTTCCCAAAAAATTGCCAGTCATAAAGACATTAAAAAGTCATAAAAATATTATTACACTATAAAACTTGTTAAATAAAATAAGTGGTATAAATTATACCTTACATATAGGAACAGATTTTAAAATCCTACTGAGATTTAAAACTCAATGTATCTTACACATCAATCTTCTAGGCTAGAGAATTTCACATGCCAAATCATGACCACGTGGTCCCTAGAGTAATAATACCTCAACTTACTTCTTCTTCACCAACATGAAGTACTATAGCTTTTTATTACTTTTCATTACTTATTATCTTAACCTTAATTTTTCATTAACTATATCCAAATACAGATATTCCTCAAATTACAAATTGTTCCATTAATTAAATCTGCAAACTTGAAAAGCACTTTACTTTGTAAATGAGTAGATGAGTATTACATCCCAAAATACAAAACAAAAAGCCAAAGTTCTCCTGTAATGTAATTTAATTAATTGCTGCCCACCTCAAACTTAAACTCTCAAGTTTGTCACCTATAAAAAATGAAAAATAAAGCAAAATAATGCCCCTTACTGAGACAACAAGTATAATGCAAACAATGTTGTATAACCTAGAGAATACTTGACCAGCTGTCCAAAAAAATCACTAAAACTTTTTCTTAAGTATTACGTGATATTAGCACCTTTGCAAAACACAATGTGCCTTTGTGCATATTCATGTAATACAGAGCACCCTCCCGGCATGAATTGCAAAGCTCAGTTACACAAGTAACACACCATGCAAAACAGATTATCCAAACCGATGAAAAGTGACTAGCTAGTCGTGTGTAGGAGTTCATCCATAAAGAATGAATTTAGGAACGTCGAAAGTGTAGATTTCAGAATATCAGAAAGCTTAATAGAAACCTGAAATAAAATATTTTAAAATACTCTGCCACTCAAAATCATACCCACACAACTACATAATTTCAGGCTCCCTTTTGATATCAGCACAAACAACTCTAGAGTTTGTTTCTGGCGTTTACACAATATTCTATGCATTTGTGGGAAAAAAGCAAACGGTTTTGGAGTCAGAGGCATGGGCTTAAATCTCAACGGAGGCTGTGGGACTTCACTTGCTCTTTTTTAAAATGGGAAGGAACACAGACGATCTGTAAAAAGCACCCAGCCCAGTTATGACAAGCAAGCACTCAAACAGTGGTATTAATGTTTAATAAGGGTAAGACACTGTTCTGAACACTTTCCATGTATTTACTCATCTCATCCTCAAAGAACCCTATATCGTTACTCATCCTGCTTTAGATAAAAAAGAAACTGAGGCACAGAGAAACTCAGTTACTTGCCCAAGGCCACAAAACTAGTCCTTTCCACTACTCTTTAGGCCCATCACCCACAGAATACATTTCCCAGTATCTTGGTGGCAGTAAATGATTACCATAAGACAGCTAATAGTTACTGAAATAGAAAAAGCAGAGGCAAAGCCAGACACTAGAGTTAAACCAGCCATTACCTTTAAATAACCAATGATCTGAAACTGTGTAAATTAAAACAGCAGCTAGATTACACTCTATTTTTCAGAGGGTATCCTGGCAGCTAAGTAACATTCTCATGCTACGCATACTAACCCTTAATCCTCAAGTTCTAACTTCCAAGATTTTAGTCCTACTATAATTTTTTTTAAAATTACTTCACATGATAAATGGTCAGAGAAGTGAGATAATTTATAATGCACAAAACACATAAACACAGGAGGCCATATTAGAACAAGACCTTCTGGAGGCGCCTGGGTGGCTCAGTCCGTTAAGCATCTGACTCCCTGCAGAGGGAGCCCTGCCATGTGGCTCTGCTCTCAGCAGGGAAATCTGATCAAGATTCTCTCTCCTGCTCCCTCTGCCCCTCCCAGAGTCGAGTGCCCTCTCTTTCTCAAATAATCTCAAAAAAAAAAAAAAAAAAAAAAAGACCTTCTGAATCCTCTTATCTCTTCTCCACAAAATGATCAAGTTTCAAAAATTTAATTGATCAAACCTCCCTACCCTAAAGGCCCTTTCCCCACCAGGGATTTTTCTCTTCCTCAGAAGACAACATCAAGAGAACTTGAGAACCTGTCCACTTCATTACTTTCCCACTTGCTCCAACTCTTCACATACTCACCCCTCCATAGAATTTCAGGTTCTAAGATAGACTCTGGAGTACTTATTATTGGAAACACTACCATATCTTTGCATAAATCCAAAATTAGAGATGAGAAGTTTCAGAACAGAATGCAACAAATGTTACTATTACTCAATATTGGAGAAAGAATGGTAGGGTGCTTTCAGAACCCTGGCTCTTGGGCCCAAGGCATGGGTTCAAATCCAGAGTCCTGTTCTACTAGGCATGTAACTTTGGTCAAGTGCTCAACCTCTGTACCCATTGTTTTTCATCTGTAAAAGTGGGATGAAGGACTCATCTCAAAATGATTTTTTATAAGCATGGAATAAGTTTCTTATTAGGCACCTCAGAAAGGCTGCTACCTAGCACAGTACACATGCTCAATACATGTTACGCTGTTATTACTACTACTAAATATTAACGTTTCATTAATATCAAAAGTTCCATGTCTGTCAATTATTCTGAAAGAACCTAAGGGAACATCTGTGACTTTTCAACCTCATTTCTTCTAAATATATTTCTATTCTCAGCGGTAGCAGTCTATAAGATATCTTTGCAAAAGCAAGATAAATTTACATAACCATGTAAAAACCAGAGCTATCATTTCAATGGTTCATTAATTAAGAACCAAAATAATTAACTGTGGGAATAGATTTATAAGAAAAATATATTAACATTTTAATTTTACTTCTATTGAACATCAGTCTGACAAATGCATGTTTTATATAGAAATGAAGGTTTTAAAATACAGCCCAGAATAGGAACATATAAAATGTTACTGCTACTTCTAAGTTGCTAAATTCTTAAAGTAACACATATTCTTCCTCTAATCAGTAAAATTACCACCTAAATGCCAAACTAAAATGTTATGTCTCAATTTAAGATAAAAATTACAACACCAGATTCTGAAAGAATGCCAGAGAAAAATGAAGGCCTGGCCTAAATTAAGTATTTGTAAAACATTCAAAGTATTAAATAATTACCATCTACTTGTTCACCTCTCACTTCCCTCTTAATTTTCTAATCTTTAACATTTGGTCTCCTTCTCTCTTTTTTTGTTTTAAATGAACAGTGTGGCAATTTTACTATCACTCACTCCTCACCCTGCCTTTGACAGGGTGGCCTTTTAATCTCTTCCGACTGGGTGATCTTTGTGTCCTGTAAAATGATGGCTCCTAGATTTTTTCTCTCTACAGATCCGCCTTATCAACAACCCACTGCACATCTGTACTTAATTTCTCCCAGGCACTTCAAGAATAAAACTTAATCTTCTCCTCAAATTGGATTCTTTCCCCTGTATCCCCAATCTTAGAGAGAGATCCCCTCATCTCACTACCAACACCCAACTACATACAGGGTCCCTGAGTAAGTCCTCATAAATGTTACTCTTAACTTTTCTAGTATCTAACCCCTTAGTTCCAACACTCAGTAACTCTCAGATCTGTCTGTATAACCATGGTTTATCTAAACTCTGGTTAAAATCCAAATTTATTAGGATATTATGGCCTTCCACAACTTGGCTCCTAGCTTTTTCTTAACTTTACCAAACTTACATCAACCATCCAGCCACAGAGTTCTATCTCAAGATGTTTCACTCCTTCAATCTACAGTACACCTGCCTATCTTTTAAGCTTAAGATTCAAGCCCAGTTCCTCTATGAAGGCTCTCCTGGTCACTCTCTCCTTTGAAATAATCCTCCATTTCCTGCTTTGGAGGAAATCCATCACATGTATTTAGAACATTTGTTTCCATATTTATTATTCCAGCCAAGAACTGAATCAGTATTTGTTTTTGCATTCACAGTTCCTAGCATAAACAGCAGTCTGTGAATATATAAATTCTTAAATCAAAAATGAGATCTTTTAAGCTTTCCTGTAACTGAATAAAATGCCTTTCCCTGTGCACACGGTCAACTCACTCAATTTAAACAAGCTTAAATTTCCCCTTAGAGCATTTATTGAGTAAACTTTACGCAAAATACACTTTAAAAATTTTTTCAGACCTTGCTCATTAAAGAACCCAAGAGAGTCAAATAGAAACTAATTTTTGGGGGGCACTTGGGTGGCTCAGTCATTAAGCGTCTGCCTTCGGCTCAGGTCATGATCCCGGGGTCCTGGGATCGAGCCCAGCATCGGGCTCCCTGCTCAGTGGGAAGCCTGCTTCTTCCTCTCCCACTCCCCCCTGCTTGTGTTCCCTCTCTCGCTGTGTCTCTCTCTGTCAAATAATAAAATTTTAAAAAATAATAATAAATTTTTGATTGCCATTCTTCAAACAATACAGATCTACTTCAGCATACACCTCTCTCCTCTCAGCAGAGAAGTTGTGGGAATAGTATTCGGGTGTATTCATAAAAAGCCAAATAAAAAACACGATTCTATAAATCTAGTATTACTTTCCTCCTTGCTTCTGCAAAACAACTAATCTTCAGAACTAGTCTCTGAAACATGACTTCTCTGAAAAGCTATGATAAAAATAAACATTTCTGGTAATAGTTTTGGTATTTTCTAAAGTGTCTATAATGCTGGACCCTTTTCGCCCATGTCAAACTGCAGAAAATTTCCATCATTACCTAAAAACTCTTTCAGGACCCACCTCCTCTAGGTTCCATCCCTTAGAAAACTACTTCAGAAGGAACTGTATCACAAAGAAGCACCACATTAGTGTAGCTAGCAACTTTTCCACATGTAATTTTTCATCTTCCTTTTATTCCAATGGAAGTAAACAACCTCCCTGAGATCCTTAACTTTGTGTACTGTGAAAGAATTTTTCCCTTTGTCTTTCATTTAAACAGACAGCTGTGATGATGGAAGGTAAATCTTAATGAGAAGTTTCTGTAACTGTCATTGTCTTTTAGACAGATATGAAACATATGTTATTGTTCTTCTCTGAATGTGGCTATCAAATCAGGTACATTTTAAATTTACCCTGATCAGCCTATAGGTGCTATCAATGGAAGTAGAAACAGGACCAAAAGGACCCACATTTTCAAAACTTCAAATCATCTGGGTAATCAATTTTTAAAAGGTTTTCTGCATTATGGTGAAAACTTCTCGTAGTAGTGGATACCTGTACTCAAATGTATTCACCCAGTATGCTTTGAAAATTAATGCAAACCAAATAAACACACATTTCTAACACCCACCAAGAAGTACTTCTTGCTCTTTGGGGTATATTCTGGATCCCATTCCTCTTCCTTCGGTCTCTTTTGAAAAGTAGTATTTGAGTTGTTTGGACCAGTATTTGTCCCAGCAAAAACTCCTCTGGCTCTTCCTCTGCCTCTAATTCGAAACTGATTAACATTAACAAAGTTGTTTAGTAATTCAATCAAAAGGTATTTAGTTACATGCAAACTCTAATTTTACTGCAGTAACAAAAAACATATTTCCTAATTTCCTTCCTAAATCTCAATTTCATAGCCACTGAGGATAGAAAGGGTGACTATTTTATATTATAGGCAAAAAATTCTGCCTACTGCAAGTTAAAAAGGTTAAGAAGAAATGCAGTCAATCTAAGTATTAGCATACTGACTGCACTTTCATGGCCTGAACTAGTACTTTTAAATAATAGAGTTGGTTCTTTTCCCTTTTACTAGCCAAGAGTTGTCTGATTCTTTGAATTATCATTGGAGTCCCAAGTGTTCAACTACATCTATCACCATATAAGCAAAGCTCTTCTCTTTCCTAAATGATCTAATTAATGAACCCTACTAATAATTGACTGGATACTCGCTTACAGGAGGAATCTGAATATAGAAATTGACGAGTCAAGAAGATGCACTACTATGAAGTCATTAAATTAATAATTACAACAAATTTATGCAAATATGGGGATAATGTGTAGGCTATGTAGAATAAAAAGAAAATTTTATGATTTCTATGATTATACGCATATAAGCAAGGACTGGAAGGCAAAATAGGCAAAATAAAAATAGCTGTAATACAGAGATTAGGGGTTTTTTTTTAATGTTTTAAGGCATCTTTTCAAAAACTAAGTGATTAAAGAACTAGATCTCAATAACTTTACTTGACTCTTGGGTCTTTATGCACTATGTAGACATTAATTCCAAAGTTTAAAAAAGTATCTAGTTTATATATATATATATAAATTTTTTTAATTAGATAAAAACACTTATTTTTTACTCTGTATACAAAGAAAGCATCATCCCAGCTCCAGCCCCTCCTCCCAACCCTTAAATGGCATATCTTAATGAAGATATTATCAAAAACCATTTCACTTTCCAAGACTAATTCTGAATGTAGGAGTAATGACTCACAACAATGTCTAAATCATGTATTTTTAACTTTCCTTATGCACAGTGCTCTAAAGTCCTACCATCAATCAAAGGTATTTCTACTACTTACAAAGGTTCCTCGTGGTCGGCTAACTCCTCCAAAGCCTGAGTATTCTTTCAGTTCATGGTGAGTTTTAAATTCTTCTTCTCTTTCCTTCTTACTCTCCTTTTCTTCTCGAGAACTGGGAGAAGAAGGTGATGCTGAAGAGGATGAAGATCGAGAATGATCTTGCTCTCTACTTTTATGTTTACTGCAAAATAAACAAAGAAAACAAAAAAATATGTGCTACTTTAAAAAAGATAAAGACCCTGTTGAATCTTATAATAAAAGGAATATTTTTCAAGTCAAAAAAAAAAACTAACCCCTATTAAAATTATTACATAACTAAAATGATTGGGTGTTAAACTTTGACACAGTCTGTTTCCATTCTCCTTCAGTTTTTTGTTTTTGTTTTGTTTTGTTTTGTTTACATTAACTACTGAAAAACATGATATGGCCTGCCAGTTAAAAACTAGCAGTCTGGAAACTTCAAGAATAAGGTTCAGTTCTTCAATATTTTTAACTTTTTTGTTGTTGTTATTTTAAGGCAAGGAAAAGAAGAGTAGGAAAAAGTAAGAATGTTCTTAAGGCCAAGTTTCAAAATGACTGCAGTCTGTACACCCTGGGTGAGAACAGATGGTATGGTTTGGGCCATAACTCCATTATAGAAATCAAAAGCATATGACATACAAATACCAGTCATAAATTTAAAAAACACGAGTAAGATCCACCATTTACCTAATGAATAGCAAGAAAACGATTATCTATGATATTGAGTATTCCTACTATTTGACTCTATGATGATCAATTTTATATGGTTCTAATGCAACACCCGAAAAGGTCATACCTGCGATAACTCTTACCACTGCTAACAGTATCCATGGAAACATTACTTTGAAAGATAAATACACATTGCTATTTCACATAAAAACTAGTCCTTCCTCCCCCCCATCTCTCCCATGTTAAACCACTAGATATCAGTTTAAAATTCTTGTACTCTGGGTGTTATGAGTTGAAAAAGTGCGGAATCAAGCATAACGAACCAAAGTTCTTACACAAACTGTTTCTAGAAATGCACTGCATTGAAGTCCAACCTCCTGATGTAGCCTGGATAATAGGACACATTAATTTGTCATTTTTTTTTTCAGTGTTAGCTTGCTATTCCAAAGTTTTTGTCCTCATCCACCATAAGCCGTGTAAAAGACAAATACATTTTTGCTGTAAAACAAATAATTTTAATTGTTTAAATTTAAACATTCGATTACACAGTCAAAATTGAAAGCAATTAAGCTGACAATTATTAAAGGCTAATTAGAAGCTAAACCTAACTCACACAGTTTTAACAATTACCTGTCATCTTTGTAAGATTTGTATTCCTTGTAATCTTTTGGAGTTTTTTCCTGCTTTCTTGATCCACTGGATTCCCTGGAGCCCTTGGAATCCCCCCGTTCTTTACTTCTTTCTTTTCTCCGACGATCAATGTCATGCCGAAGATCAGCAGAATCACACCTTAGTTTTTTATCTCCCTATAAAAGACAAATGTAAAATACAGATTTCAGGAAAGATATAAGAAAAATATATATATATAGCCAAATTTTATGCCAGTTTCTAAATTGGCATTTTAGTATGAGAGAAGAGTAGACCATAACATACTACTTCCACACTTAGTTTTAGTTTTTGTTAAAAAATATGCCCGGTTGTTTTGACTAAACATTTGTATACACAGCAACGGGACTAGGGAAGAAGTTATGAAAGGCTAATTATCTTGAAAATGTCATCGGTTTTTGTTCAAAGCAATCCGTAATAAACTCTGTACAGAATTTTACATATTTTTCCACTCAGCACATCCTCATTGTCATCACTCATCCTTTTCACAGGGTTTCTTTTTAAATGATAGAGCTTATTCTCTTATCTGTAGTTGTGGTATAGCCTTCTACCTACAAAGTTATGGGATCCTAAAGTAACGGTTCTCATTATTTAAGCCTCATTATCATCAAGCTCTTCCCAATAAGTTGACCAACCCAATAAAAACCACTTCAAAAGGAAGAACTGTAATTTCCATAACATGCAAGTGGAGTATGATTAATAAAACCAAGTAAGGTTGAATAAGGGTAGAAACAAAGCCAGAAAGAGATTATTCCCAATCCTGTACTCAGTATCTTGGGCCATATACTGCCCTTTCTCAATTCAGGTATTGCAACGGACATTAGTTTAACTGGGTCACAATTCACCTCCTTCTTGTTCCATTGCTTTTTCAAATACTATATAATTTAGGAAGATGGAAAGAGGCATCTAGGAATGAAGAAAAATTATACATCAGTAAGATGCTAAGCAATGTGGACATCCTTGCTAGTATTCAACAATAAGAAGTACTTATTCTGGGAAATCTAGCTATGATATTCATAAGCATTCGTAAAACTGGAAGTGTATCTCCAAATGGTATCAACTACTCACCTATTTGCTCCCTGGGTAACAAAGAAAATCTAACCAAAAGCAAAAACCTTCCTTTTTCACTTAGGTATTATGAAGCCCACAAGTAACACCATAATTTAAGTAAAACTATAAACTCCAAAACTATATACACATTAAATAACATATTTATTAATTATTCATTCAGATCATAAGATGAAGGATAAAAAGCAATGTCATATCCTCTTGTCCATCCATAAGTAATCACTATTTTCTCTCCTCCAGATGAAAATCTGGTGAGTAATGAGGAAAGAAACAAGATATTCACTCTGTCAGAGCACAAGGATAGACTAAACTGTTGGCAAAACAAAATTAACCAACAGAACCCAAGATACTGAAAGTAAAAGCCAAGGTTAGTATTCACCTCTCAGAATCTGTTTTTCCAAGGTTAGTATGCCCCATACAAAGAGACCACTTTCTTTTAAGCTTTAAATTTCACATCTAGTAAGTTAATAGGAAGCCCTATTAAAATATTTGTATAATACAACTATTAATAACAGCTTCTGGAAATGAAAGTGCCAATGTTTTCATAATAGCTCAACTATTTAGCTCTGCAAAACCCATGTTGTCTCATTTTTCTGATTAGAAAACCAAATGTCCAAGAGGCTAATTATCTTCCACATATCATAGAAATACTTGGCTACAACCAAAATTGGAACCAAGCAGCATTTCCAAGTCCCCTAACCTTTTCATTACAATGGACAGTTGCTATTTGTCCCTACATTTCTACTAGACCCATAAGGCCTGCCGTATGGACTAGCCTATCTAGAAAACACCAATTTCAAATCATCAGAATGTATCAGAGTCCCCTTAACAAATGCATTCTATTCTCAGACCTCCCTCCCCCAACATTCACAGGTTCTTCTCTCAAGTTTAAAAGCATTCTTCCCCAACCCACAAAAATTCCAACAGTGAGTTTTTATTCCAAATGTTCATTTGTAAATCTGTTCTTAGAATGTTTATTTCTTAGTCCAGATCAAAAATGCCCAGTAGCATGGGGATTACTTCTTGTTCTTGCTGTGAAAAACCTAGAAATATTAATTTAGGCATACATAAATCAAGGAATATTTATTCTGACTCACTTATTTAACCCCAAAACTTTATATAAAAACCCTACTATAATTTCTATCGTTGCTTTTCTCATTTTCCTTTATCTAACGTTTGATTCTTTATCCTTTGTTTAGAATGAATTTCTTCCTTTTATCATTTTTAAAAATTACTTTTGGTTTTACTTGAATACATAATACAGTGTCAACTTAATTTCTTTTAGGAAGGAACACTATATGCACTACTATAAATGCATTTATTTACAAGTTAAAAATAGATGACCTCTGCAAACATTTTGTCTATGCAAACTATACTTAATTATATAGTATCATTAACTGAGTTGAACTTAACATTAAAAAAATGTCCATTCAAAACATACCTTTTGATTTTCTTCTTTAAAAACTCTCTCTTCCCCTGCTAAACGAGTATGCTTCCTCAGGGCACTTGGAGAGATGTCAATTCTCCTTAATGTAAAATAAAGTTCTATTTGTAGTCACATTAACTTTATGGTTCAAAAAATTCCTCAGAACTGTCCATTTTAATTAAGGAAATAACTAGACAGTTATTTCTCTCCCAAATAAACCTTAACATTGTGAGATTATTAATCTAATTCCAAATAATTAATAAAGACTATATCCTTTAAAAATAAATTTAAAATGCTTCAGTATTTTTACATATAAAGTCTGAAGTTTTAAAACAAATTAATCATAAAAAACCCATATTTTATTTAAATTGAACATTATCATCCTAAGCGTCAAGCATCATACAATTATACCTCCATAACTTCAATGAACACATGAATAGGGTTATTTGTTCCTAAATATCTCCAATATTTTTACATAATCAGTGGATCTTTAGTTTTATGCTCTGCCTTTCCTTGCCTTTAAGCTAGTATCCGTTGCCAACTTCTCAGAGCTTCTTCAAGCAGTCACCACCAAAACCCTACCTACTATGACTAAGCACTAGATACTTTATAACCAATACTAATTGTCACCACCACCCTGCAAAAGAGGCACTGTTGTCCTTATTTGGTAGATGGAAAAAACTAATGTTCAGAGATTAACTAACTTGTTCATCACAATACAATGAAGTTACAGAACCAGTATATGAACATAATTGCCTTTTAACATTCATGCTCTTCTTATGAAGAACAGTTCTACCTGTTACCAAGCATTTTTATTTTACAAACTTACTGGAAGTAAATTAAATAAAGGGCTACTCTAGACATCCAACTTCCTTCCAAAAAAACAAATGTGGTATCTACTGAATTCCTTACTGGGGAGTGATTAAGACTACTGTAAATTGTAAGAACCTGTTTAAACCAAGTGAACTGAAAATTAAAAAGAAACAGTAAATTACAAACTTTTCAAGGCTGGAAATACACTTATTCAAGGTACAAATCAGAAATAAAACCAAAGTTCATTTTATATCATGATGATAGCAGAGTTCCATTATGATATTGTTTAAACAGTGTCTATCAAAACATTTTTTATATGCCCATACAACAGTGCACATACCTGTGTATCTCAGGGCTCTTTTGCCTGGTACTATGTTCTTCGGTGGCTTTCTGATACGAAGTGAACCTCTCGTTTAGGGTCACTGCAGCTGATTTGAAGTATTGCTCTGTTGATTTAGGAGAAATACTGCCCAATTAGTTATCTTTACTTCAAGAAAGATTTTCATTTGTGACAGAAGGGCATTTGGCAGGTGAAAAGAAAATAAAAATACTCAAGAAACCTATCAGAAGAGAATCAAGTGTTACAAAGAGCTCCTACTCTGTCCCTTTTAACTTTTTGTACCTCAACAGGTAACTGATACAAAGTTCCTCAGAGGGCACTATCAATAGTACATATAATCCAAGAACAATAAACAGATTAAAATTGAGAATCTCTAACTTAATTTCAATAATGAACTACTTCCTCAAACAGAACAAAAAGGAACAGTAAGTGGACGTCCTTATACCTTGCCAATATGAACCACTGAGGTTACTTCAAGTAATCATTTGCAGAAAACAAAAATACTGAAATAAGTACACAGTTGGTTTTAGTACACTAATAAAATTATTTCAAGAACTACGTTGACAACAAAAAATGGATTTAAGAAAAAAATGAACAGTACCATTTCAATTCAAAAAATATTCTTCAAATCAATTAACACTAATTACTCCAAAAATCTGGCATCTTGGCAAACCCAACAGCGTATTTGCTATTGTTCTCTTGTCCTTCTTTCAAATTTTAAAATTAGTAATATCAATACTAGTTTTTAAACCATTCAAGATACGCTGTAAATGTAAAATAGAAAGACGTATAAAGTCATGAAATGTTACATTATGAAGCAAGCTATCTGCTTAACAGGTCAACATACATCTGTGTCAACTTACCGCCCAATATCCAGCACATGTCTCATAACCAATCATTAAAACTTGAAACGGCCACTACAAGGGTAGTGCCTCAATCATAATTCCATGAAACCCAGGAATTTGAGCTAGCAACTCAGTTTTTATGCCATTTTTGCCAGGAAGACAGAAGATTCAACTTTGCCTGTATCTTTCAACAGCTATTTTACTTTGAAACATGGATTTTGCCATTTCAAAACATATTCCAGGACCTAGTTACAATGAAAAAGAAAACATCACTGGGCATTTTCAGCTCTAAAGTAAGAAAGAGCTGTTCAGATCGGTTGTACAATACCAATAATGAAACATAACTACAGTTCTTTAAAAAAAAAAACAAAAAACAAAAAACAAAAAAAAAAAACAAAAAGAAAATGAAAAAGAAAAAATTTTATCAAAACCTGATCTCAAAATTCAGCAATAAATTGTAAAATGTGGAGACAGGTCAAAAAAAGGTAAAAAAAGAAAAAATGTTAATGTTTCATATTTTATGTACCACAATATGGTCATAAACTGGCTCACAAACCTAGTTATAGCCAAATAACAAAACTCTTGTTACCATGTTTAAATAATTACAGTCAAAAAGAAATTCATTCACTATTCACTGTTTTGAAACATCAACTGCATAAAGAATTTGCTAGCAACAAGTTTCAGCTATTACAACGAATTGTTCTCATATAAGACAAACTTTTTTAAAAAAATGGCTTTTAAGACCAACAACCATGTAGCTTCCTGGGTAAGAACCTATTTCACAGTAAGTTGCCTTTTAAACACAGAAAGAAAATAACAAAAACAAAACAACCTAATCGCCCAAAAAGTCATACCCTAAAACCTTTGAAAATTATTAGTAACTTTGAATTACATACTGGTGAAAATTGAGCATCATTACTTTCACTGAAATGAACACCCTTATCATCTTCAGGACTTAAAGAAATATAACTATCAATACCTCATTAGTAACTATTCATAAATTCACTACTCGTCTAACACATTTTTAAATTTCTTAAACTTTTTTTCCTTAAAAAATTCCAATAAACTCTTTTCCAGCTTATCATTTAAAAAAGCTAAGTATTAGAACAAATTAAGTAACAAAAATATAGATAGAAAATCAATACTGCTTTTCTGCTGGTTTCAGGTTTCTTTAAAAATTGAAAAGAAATTCTTAATAATATTCAGTAACAATATGACCTCACTTTATTATAAATCTATGCAAGAGTGCATTATAAATCCTATGCATGCAATGAAAAATCATCTGTAAGCATTCTGCCCTTCAAGTACAATGACACATTTCAAAAAGACTTCCTGTTAAATAAATCTTTATCAGTTTTATCATGATATAGCTTTTTAGAGTGTGTTTCAGCTCTATTTGGTATTTCAATCACTTTTTATTAAGTATCTCCATATGGGTCTTAATGCTAACAAGACTGATCACTCTTTCATGAAACTATTCTTCCAAATTTCTAAGGGTGTCTATGTAAACTTGATAGCCCTAGAGTACATTAAAGCCTAACTATTCATTTTAATTTGCAAGAAATATTTAATTCACAATAGCAAACATACCTTTAACATGATGAACCAAGGACACAATGTGTTGAATAAAAGACTCTGAAGTGCTTTTGCTGGCCTGTGGCAACTTAATGTGGTCAAAGATGGATCGGAATTCTTGTTCCTTCTTGACAGAATGGACAAGTGTACTAGCAAGTAGCCTGTCTTTAGTCAAGGAAGCAGGTCTGGAGCATATCGGTAACAAACACACACACAACAAACAAAATATACCATTGGTTTGAATACGAAATGGGAGTATGTTCAGAAAATAAGATAATTAATTAGAATATTAACTAAATCACCACAGATTATTTCCTGGGCATCAGTGTGGAATTACCTGTTAGAATCATCAAGAGGAACAGGTGCCATTTTGAGTTTGACTTCAGGACGATGAGAATCACTGGCTATCATTTTGATCCTAAGTGGGCTCTCCTCTCTGAAGGTAGACTTTTCTCGTGCATCCAGATTCTTGTGTAGAGGGGGACTGTAATCAAAGAGGTCTTTGAGCTTTTCAGACTTTACCTGCTCAGGTGACTGAGTTTCTTTCTTTACTGTTATTCTCTCAGAACTTTTGTCGTCTTCCTTGTGCTTATCTTTTGCAGTGCTAGGCCTTTCCACTACGTAGCCAGTCTCTTTAAGTTTATAATTTTTTTCTTCTCTAAATCCATCACTTTCTCTATTGCCTTTCAATGAAACTTTGGACTTGTACTTGGGTCCTTCCTCCTCAGTATTCCGGTGAGATGTAGTAGCAAAATTTTTACCCTGATCTGCAAGGACTGACTTCCTGAACTGTCTATAATCCTCTGTCTCCTCTGTGTCATCCCCTTCTGAATCATTAAACTTTTGTTTTCCAGACTCTTTATCACTAAAGTAATCTAGCGCTTCCTGATCTTCCCATTCTCCCTCTGCCCTCCCTTTCTCTGATCCTTTCTCCTTTGGAGCCTCTTTATCCCTGGTATTACCCCTATCAAGCAGGAATACTCTAGACTCTTCATCTGTGAACCTGTGAATAAGCAGAGAAGAGGATGGTAACTCTGGATTGCATTCACTGTGGATCACTTGCATACTTATATGTATGAAGATCTACATGACCGGCGAGATCTGCCCAATATCACAGGACCAGTAATAAAGAGAAAAAAATCTTACTGAAAAGTGCTTTCTTCAGATTCCACTTTAAAAAAAACATTAAAAGCATCTATACAGCACTTACGTACTGAGTTTTTAAATAAATTTACATAGTAGACCTCCTGAAGTTTAAAAGTAAAGCCTTTCCCAAAAACCTGTGCTAGCCATAGACCACAATTCTGCACTAACAAATCCAATTATCCAGAACTTCTATAACATGCAACACAGTTTAATTTTGGGGGCTAAAAACCACTAATAAACAGTATACTTATCTATCAGAATTCTACTTATACTCAAAATTTCAGACTGTAACACTTACCTACCAAAAGAAATGAGTTCACAAAAGTGAACTTAAATTAGTTAATATTTAATATTCTAACTGAATCACAAAACTATTTCATATACACTTTGCTGCAGAAAATGATTCCTGGCAATACTAAGTACAAACTGTATCAATTCAACAAGAAATTTAATTCTAGTTTGTACAGCACTACCCCATAAATAGCCTGCCTGTTCTATTTTCTCACTTAATAATCAATCAAACTACATTAGTAACCAATTTTCAGAGTTTTTTAGCAACACTAGCAATGCTTGAAATCAGAATTTAAACAAAGTATGTTTCAAACATTACTAGAATAAGAAATACCGTTATCTTTTCTACGCTCAGATAGTTTTATTAAGAATTGGCAGCTGCATGTATTAATACCACACAAGTAAAAACATGTACTATAACTACATTATTTATATGTTACGTTATAATGAAGAAAACAAAATAAGCTTTCAATGCTCTAACACAAAATTCATCTAAGGTCTTACATATTAACCATCAGTTATGCTTTATGCTACTAATTTCTTGTTTACATTCTTAATTCTGGACTGACTGAAAACGAATAAAATTAAAAAGAGAAATATCAATTAACTTCTATTAAAACACTTCAATTTCCAAAGTTAACCAGATGTAGTATAAACAACTTGAATTATAAAGTCATGAGTAAAAACAGGTAACTACACATCACGGTACAATTTTAAGTCTTATAAATCCAAATAGAATTCAAAGAACAAATGTATTAATGTTATCATCTAAATATTTTAACACTTACCTTTTTAAGAATTTTCCTGTCTTCGCAGTTTCCTGATCTCCACCATCAGGATAAAATGAAGAACGTCCCCTAACCTCATCTCTTGGAGCATTCTGTGGTGTGATTGTCTTTGCAGGGCTTCTTCGTGAAGGGATATGATGAATTGGACTATTCTGAGAAGGACTGTACCGACTAGATCCATTTCCAACAGAACCAGACCCAGACCTTTCAGGACTATGCTGAATGGAATGTGAATGCTGAGAGGGGGTGTTTTTTGCAGAGTGGACTGTACTGAGCATGGGGGCATCAGAGCAAGATGAACTCTGACTAGGTGGTGTAGCAATTGGTGAAGGACTATGAGGTGATCTAGGACTATTATCATAAGCTGAGAGGCCAGGCCAAATATCACCAGATGTAGCTGATGATTTGTTAAACTCATCAATAGATTCAGATGGGTCATGTTCAAATGTATCTTTCGGCTCCTCCTGTGATTTACTTTTCAAAGGACTCTCTTCTTGGGGCTCCCCTTCAGCTTTTTTGGTTTGTTTTTCCTGAGACCCTCGTCTTTTAGAGACAGGAGATTTGCTATATGGGGATGAAGAACGAGAAGAGGATGATCTTGGAGACCTAGAAGATCTATATGACCGGCGAGATCTGCTTCGGGATCTTTGAGAAGAAACGGATCTTCTTTTTGGACTCCTGGAACGTGAACGACCTCGTCTAGGACTCCTAGAGTGTCTTCTATTCCAGACAGGTCTATAACCACCTCGATGATATCTACCTCCTCCTCCTTGATAATACCCTCTGCCCCTTCCTCTGTACCCATAAGGTCGTCTCATTCCTCTATTATTTCTGTAATCTCGGCGATAATCTCTAGAATAAATACGATCTCTACTACGAGATCTTGAATATGTCCTGGAACGAGACCTAGAACTAAAAATGAAATAAATATCAATGCAAGAAAAACAAACTATTCCATTCTACCATTCTAAACACTTATGGTTGAACGTAACATGTCAATAGTCAAAACCAAAAATGTACATTTGAAAAACAAAACCTCTCATTTATACAAAAGTTTACTGTTTTTAATGAAGGAAGTCTCACTTCTAAGGTATTGAGAGAATAAAGGCCTTAGGAACGAAGGCACAGAAAACAGGAAAATATCCACCAACAGGACATACCAACAAATTACAGTAAAGTTATACAGGCACTTAAAGTAAAAGAATATTTAATGGCATAGAAGAATATTCATCAATGAAATACTACTGGCTAAACTCATACATAACACTGAGACATCAGAATCAGAAACAATGAGAAACTATGAATACAAAAGATGGCTTACTGTCAGATAATTCTCACGTTATCCAATTTATCTAATGTTATAAATTCAAAGAAATTCACCATAAATGCACAGTGTAAGAATCTGAGATCTGAAGTCACGCTAACTGAAATCAAACCTAAGCACTGCCATTTACTAGCTTGCAACTTGAACAATTCTCAATCTCTCCAACTATAAAATGAAGGTAGAAGAGATTCACTTCACAGCGTTGAGAATAAAATAATGAGTTCAGCATTGTGTCTAAACATAGTAAGCACTCCATCAATATCTGCTGATTATCATTATTAAAAGAATTAAGAACACAGTAATTCACCTGTATCTCTTCTTTCTAGAATGTGATCTTGATCTTGATCGAGAACTAGACTGTGATCTAGACTTTGATCTTGAAGAATGTGATCTAGAATTGGAGCGACCCATTTCTTTTCTCCTAGTCAATGAGAGCAAAAAAGTCAAAAATCACAATTCAATTAGTTTCCCATTCTTATTTATTTTCAAAGACCGATTAAATTTTACAAGACATAAGTTTCTTAAAGGATATTAATCATCACCATTTTCATATGAATACTAAGACAATTCTCCCTATTTATCTTCATCTGCATGAGTTACTGTATATAGTAGGTAGAAGATTTCTATGGACTGCACCACCTATGTGCCTCAATTCAAAAAGGCAGCAGCTGCATAAGCCAGGAAAAGCAATACAAGACTATAGCAGCATGTTAGATGTTATTCCATGCCCAATACAAATGCCTACCTGTCCTGTAAAAAAGATAAATATCAGAGTAATATCAGATAAGGAACCTGAAACAAAGAAAACACAATTGGCATAATACTAAAAATAAATAAACCCAGCAGACTGTCATCCTAAAAGCTTTACAGCCTTAAAATGGGACTAAATTGGGGCGCCTGGGTGGCTCAGTCGTTAGGCATCTGCCTTCGGCTCAGGTCATGATCTCAGGGTCCTGGGATTGAGCCCCGCATCGGGCTCCCTGCTCCGTGAGAAGCCTGCTTCTCCCTCTCCCACTCCCCTTGCCTGTGTTCCCTCACTGTGTCTGTCAAATAAATAAAATCTTAAAAAAATAAAATGCAACTAAATTAACCACTCCTTATATATAATACTGCATGATCACACATAAAAATGGCCTTATGCGGGGCGCCTGGGTGGCTCAGATGGTTAAGCATCTGCCTTTGGCTCAGGTCATGATCCCAGGGTCCTGGGATGGAGCCCGCAGGGAGCCCGCTTCTCCCCCTCCCTCTGCTTCTCCCCCCGTCATGTTCTATCTCAAATAAATAATAAAAAAAAAATCTTAAAAAAAAAATGGACTTATGTGACAATGCTAGTTCACCCTGTAGCTTTCTGTTAAGTTGATGAAAAAGGATAAAAGATAAACTGGAAAGACTGCTTGAAGAAAGATATTGGAAGTACAAGAAAAAGAAAAGTTGGGCACCAATATTCAAACTTTTCTAAACACTAATATCTAATGCAATAATTAAACTTCACTGGGTACAGAAATAACAGGGCTAAATAATTTAGAAGATCTACTCTTCCCAAAATTAAACATATATATACACATATATATATATACGCCTCCCAAGTTTATTTCTGCTATAACTATTTCTAAATTTCCACTAACTTATTACCAAAATAATTGTTTCCATAAAAATGGACTCACTAAACTTCTAATAGTCTGCAATTGCCATATGAACAATTCCTCCTACAACTGAATATTTTTGAGGGCATTTATTTTATCTACCTAGGCACTGCTCAGTATTATGAAAATAGTATTTAAGAGTACTAAAATTGAGTTGCATTACAGAAGCAGCAACATAATGTCTGCAATCAAAAACCATTAAACGACAAATTCAAGGTTTCAGATTATTTCAAAATAAAACGTAACTATCCTAAAGACAAATATTAGGTGTATCGTCTCATAAGTAAGAAATACATAAAGATAATAATTATCTTCCTCGGAGTTGTAGTTAAGACTGAATGAGTAGATACATGTAATACAATCAACTTTAATTACCTTAACACCAATGCAAGAGTGTTAAAAAGTTGTTACGGAATTCCTCTTATATGCATACGGGAAAAGGAGTTATTGGCCTGAGTCTAAGTTGATGTGTTTATAAAAGTGGAAGGAGACACACAACAGAGAAGCGAGATAAAGAGAATCTTTTTCCTACAACTTTTAAAATCTGGCTTACTTCATATAAGCCACCAAAATGAAACAAAACGAAATAAAACAAAAAACCCAAAAACAAAACCAAACAAAAAAAGCTTCAGACTACAGCACTTATAATCACTCAGATTCATAAATTAAGTAGTTGCATTTTCTCAAATAAACCAAAACTGAAAACTAGAAAAACAAATGCTATTTACCTTGGGTTTTATGCAGGATTAAACAGTCAAGTGAAGTCTTTAAGATACTGTAAAGTTCTTCCTGGAGAAAATGTTCTGAGAAATTAAACTCTAAATTCAAATTCCTAGCAAAGAAAAAAAATACAAGTTTGCTTTATGGTAAATTAAACACCCACTGTTCACAACAATGAATTATATTGGCACTGAAATAAACTCTTAATAAAAGCACTAATGATTTCAGGGTAAGGGAAACTCATCTAGGAAATAAACTTTTAACCATAAAAGCTTAAGGAATTTTTTTTGTTTTAATCAAAATGTAAAAGAACACGATGAAACTGACAGCATTTTACTTTTTTTTAAAGATTTTGTTTATTTACTTGACAGAGAGAGACACGGCGAGAGAGGGAACACAAGCAGGGAGAGTGGGAGAGGGAAAAGCAGGCCCCCCGCGGAGCAGGGAGCCCGATGCGCGGCTCGATCCCAGGAGTCTGGAATCATGACCTCAGCCGAAGGCAGACGCTTAATGACTGAGCCACCCGGGCGCCCCGACAGCATTTTACTTTTTAATTTAAATACCTGAATTCTCATTTTAGTAATCTGGGCTTTAGAAAACAGAAGCTATGCTGCTATCCTATCAGAAAATTTCAAAGTGGCTAATATAATGCCAAATATGGTATTCTTGGAATATCAAAACATGTCATCTATCAGTAGTTAGTACCATAATGCTATAATTATAAATTACCTCAAGTGTGAGTTTATTTTTAATGCTTTGCTATTTATCTTATTCTTTATTCTCTCTTGGCCACTTCCTTTCTACAGGTTAGTTTCATTTGAAACTGGTTATTTTTTTTTTTTAAAGATTTTATTTATTTGAGAGAGAGAGAATGAGAGATAGAACGAGAGGGAAGAGGGTCAGAGGGAGAAGTAGACTCCCTGCTGAGCAGGGAGCCCGATGTGGGACTCGATCCCGGGACTCCAGGATCATGACCTGAGCCGAAGGCAGTCGTTTAACCAACTGAGCCACCCAGGCGTCCTCATCTGAAACTGGTTTTTAAAATTCTTATTAACAGCTATCGTAATAACTCTAAGCTCAGTGCCTAAAAGCATTTTGATACATGTACAGACATTCCAATAAAAGAACAGGCAATAAATGAAACAAATATCTAATAGATTAGATATCTTCCTAAACTAATTTACCATTACTATGCAAATAAGTTTAAATTTTGTGCAAAATATTAAGCAGTTATCAATACTGAAGAGATTAGCCTTGTAAGTTAACATTCAGTGACTGATCACCAATGATGTGCGAAGGATAGTCAAAAACCACTAGGGGAGCAGAAACTAATGAAAAGATTAATAGTATTCATGCCTAATCTCAAGGAATTCACAGACCAATTTTAAATTTAAAAAAATACACATAAATATGAAAATCTGTGACTCTTACCAAAGGTCCAATTAAAAAAATGCAATAAAATTGGAAATACAAAGGAAAAGAAATGTTAAGATTAAACTGGTGAATTAAGAACATTGTCCCCTATATACCCATGACCCTACAGTGGGGGACATTAAGAGATGTGAGATTCAAACTAGGAAGAATAGGAACTAATAATTAAGGGAAACATACTAAAATAAAAAATAAAAAAAATAGACCATAGGTACAGAAACAAAAGGATTTCTAAAGTGCAGGCATGTTTAGTTTTAAAAATATCAAATTCCCCCAAGGGGGCAGAAAGAAACTAATCTTCTACACTGATGTGTTATGAAAACTTTATTCTGGACCCCGAAGTCCAATACTACTGATTCACTGCTGGGAAGTGATACAAGGCTCATTTTAGCTAACACTTCCCCTAAACAATTCTAAAAGGTTAATTTTAATTTCCACATATCCAAATAAAAACCAACTGCCAAATCCCTCTTTACTCCAAATCATGACTTCTGAAATTCCAAAAAAATATACACTAGGAATAACAAAGGGAGGAGGGCTGTAGGCTGTTATACTAGTAGATACACATTCTTGTTCATAATCTATAAATATGGTTAAGTATTCATAAAAAGAACTCCAAAATCATGTGAAGTATGACACAAAATATATTTAATAGTATTTAATGTGTAATATTTAATTCAAAATATATTTAACATTTAATAACAATATTTAATACAGTTAGTACAAAGGCTAAAATCAGCTCAGCAAATATTTTTTAAATGAAAGTTTATATAAAAAGCACTATGCTAGGTTTTATGGGAAAGAGGACTATGGAAGAGGTGCATGCTCTCCAAAACCCAACTAAAGAGGAATAAAAATCAACAAACCATAGCCAAAAACATCTAAATACCAACCACGTGCTAAGAACTGTGCTAGGTGACTTTAAATAAAATCATCTCATTTACTCCTCATAATCTGATAAACTACATGTTAACCCATCTCTCAAATAAAGAGAATTCTAAGTTGTGAGAATTCATTTGAATTAATGAAATGTCTATTATATGCCGGGCACTACTATTCTAGCACTGGGAATACTGTACTTCAAGTGAGACATTAAGTTTCCTACTCTCTTGGAGCTTATGTTAAAGGGAGGGAAAGAGGAAAAAAAACCCACAAAACGATGTATTAAGAGGTGGAGAGAAGGACTACAAAGGTGGGTCCTTGAGCCCTCTTTAAGAAGATAACATTAAAGCTAAAGACAAGATACACTGCAAAGTTACAGAGAAAGAAGAGCATTCCAAGCAGAAGACACAAACTTGGCAAATTCAGGACAGAAAGACCACTAAGAAAGTTGAGGCACTCTCATCATGGAGGGTGTGAGATAAGGTGAAAGAGGCAGGAATGGACCAGATCAAATTGCATCTAGAAAGCAGGGCAGAGTAAAAAGTAGATTTTATTCTAACTGCAATGGGAAGCCTCCACAATCAGGGAAGTCACACCATCAGATTTACATTTTAAAATGGCTGCTGTGAACAGCATGGACAATATGGAGAGGAGCACAAGGAGATAAATTAGAAGGTTGAAATTCAATACAAAGGTTACCTGGAAAAGGTAGTAGCAATAAAGTTGGGAAAAAAAGGCAGTCAGAATCTGGTTTGGAAGTGCAGTCAACAGTATTCGTTCATAGATTGTTGATGTGGAGCAGAGAGAATGGGGAGAGGGGAGATTCAGTGGTGTTCCTAAATTCTCAGTTTTGGGCTCAAGCATCTGGGAGATGTGCAAGTTTGGGAAAGTAAACAGATTTCTTTACCCTTTTAAGGTTGCCCATGGTCACAGAGTGTAAATGGTTAAGCCAGAATTTGACCCAGATCTCCTGATTCCAATTCCTGCACTCTCTCCAATACCCTGACAGGTGCTTGATGTGGCCATAACCTATATATAGAATTCAAAATGCCAAATCAATCTTCCCTTTATTACAACCAAGATTACTTACTAACAGACTGTAAAAAGAAATGTAAAAAGGGAGAGGGAATAAATTGCCTTATACATTTTTATCCAAGTGATTCACCAACCAGTGAGAAACCTAAGAGAATAAATCAGGATTTATTTATAAAGTTCTTAAATACCTTAAGAAAGTCTATCTTTTATGCGATATTACATTAAAATCAGCTAGAACACAAGTGATGAAAAGAGCAGACAACAGAGTTCAACAAAATACTCAGGCTAAAGCACCCCAAAATGGGTTCTTTAGATAAGAGCCAAGTTTTCATTTTAGCAGATTCAGGAAGTTTGGCTTCCAGATTTCTATAAACAAATTATTGCTATTCACATCTTCAATAATCCTAAAAATAATATCCTAAGACTATTATTACAATAGACTAGGTTCAAAATCCTGACTTGACCATTAACTAGATGCTCAACACTGGAAAAGTTACCTTAATCTCTTTCTGCTTCAATTTCCACAGGTATAAAATTGGGTTAACAATAATGGTACTTACAGGTTTAAGGTTACTTGAACTAATGAATGTAAACAGCATAAAATTTTGCACACAGTATACACTCAAACATCAGCTATCATTATTGGTAACTGGTTTGTGACAGTTTTTCCTGCAGGTTATCTAACTTTGCTTCAAAAGATTCTTGTCGGGGCGCCTGGGTGGCTCAGTTGGTTAAGCGACTGCCTTCAGCTCAGGTCATGATCCTGGAGTCCCTGGATCGAGTCCCGCATCAGGCTCCCTGCTCAGCAGGGAGTCGGCTTCGCCCTCTGACCCTCCCCCCTCTCATGTGCTCTCTCTCATTCTCTCTCTCAAATAATAAAATCTTTAAAAAAAAAAAAAGTTGGTTAAAAATGCCGAAGAAATTCTTAAAAAAAAAAGATTCTTGAATGAATACTTAGTATTTTTGACATAACATTAATCAGCATTATAAATGCGTAATAAAATGACTGAAATTTTACTTTATAATACTCCAAAAAGAGGGGCCCGCGTGGCTCAGTCACTGGAGCATCTTCCTTCTGCTCAGGTCATGATCCCAGGGTCCTGGGAATTAAGCCCTGTGTCAGGCTTTGCACTCAGCAGGGAGTCTGCTTCTCCCTCTCCCCCTGCTCAGGCTCTCTCTCTCTCTCTCACTCACTCTCAAATATATAAAATCCTTAAAAATGAATAAAAAACTCCAAAAAAAAGTGAGTAATATTAAAATTGGTACACGCTGGCAATTACTAAACCTAGGTGATGAGAGCATGGGCGCTATTTTCTCTACTTTGAAAATTTCCGTAATTAAAAGCTTTTGAAAAACGGTAGGTTTAGTCACAAGTTTTTAGTTCTTTGTCCAGCTTCTTGTCATCCTGCTTTAAAACAAAACAAAACCAGCATGGGACTGAGAAAAATGCCTGCATTCTAGACCAGGCTGTGCCACTCCCAGGTTCATACGGCTTTAAATAAGTTTTCTACCTTTTTGCTCTCTACCTAAGTGGAGAAATCCTGGATCAAGTTTGAAGACTCCACAAAATATTACACAAATGTAGACTAGATTACTACCACCTTAATTTTGTAGATTATTTTTTTTCAGTCCTGTAGTCAAATAAAACATTAATGCTTAAGATTCTGAGATAACACTAATGACCACTGTCTAAGAATCAGGATTTGAGGGCGCTTGGGTGGCTCAGTCGTTAAGCATCTGCCTTCGGCTCAGATCATGATCCCAGGGTCCTGGGATCGAGTCCCACATCAGGCTCCCTGCTCAGCGGGAAGCCTGCTTCTCCCTCTCCCCCTGCTTGTGCTCCTGCTTTCACTGTCTCTCTCTGTCAAATAAATAAATAAAATCTTAAAAAAAAAAAAAAAAGAATCAGGATTTGAAAAAGGAACAAATTCATAACTTAAAATTATAATGTAAACATTTATACTTACTACCCAGAGATATATTGGGCTTGATTCCCTTATCTACATCTTTGCTGATTAATAAATCACTGTAAATTACACAGAATTCAGCTAGTGTTCAACTAAGGATTTTGAATGTAGTTTCTGGAAACTCCCAATCCAAAGTTCTATGTAGAACTGAAAAGACTTTCTATATTTCTACAAGTCTTCTCATCACAGTTAATTCAGGTAGCTGAGTTCAATAAATTCATCTAGACCTGAGTCTATCAAGTGGTTTTTAGAAGTCTTTTGAGTCCTAAAATACTAACGTTCTTAAAAGAAAAATCTCCTATGCTACCAACTATCTGAATGAAGGGGGATTCCAACGTTTACCCCAATGTTACAGTGAAAACATGGTGTCCTTAAAACAAGATGGCTATGAGCCATCAGTACATAAACTTTGGGTTGTTTACCAAGAGTTATTTTAGACACACAATCCTTCTCATAGAATTATTTATCCCCGGGGCGCCTGGGTGGCTCGGCTCAGTTGGTTAAACAACTGCCTTCAGCTCAGGTCATGATCCTGGAGTCCCGGGATCGAGTCCCGCATCGGGCTCCCTGCTCAGCAGGGAGTCTGCTTCTCCCTCTGACCC